GCGGCGTTTTCGGGTGGGCCAAGTGGGTTCACACTTTTGTAATGAGCCGCCGCAGACTGTCGCCGCGAAGCGGCGTAAAGCGCAGCGCGGCGGATGGGTTAATGCGCGCCCCCATTATTCGCTAGAATGTCGATTCGCTCAAATGTCGCTGTTCGCTAAAATGTCATTCGCTCATGTGATGTGGACCCGCTTTCGGGTATTCGTCTAAAAAAAGCTTCTTTGCTTTACGTTGCGACACCCGAGTAGCAGCGTCAACCGGACAGTTTTTGCCGCTTTCCTGCCTGCGCATAAAAAAAACAAGTTTCTAAAACTCAATTTTTTTTTCTTCTGAAACCTTATTTGAATATTTGAATTGGCTTATTTTTTACAAACTTAATTTCTTACACCCGAACAGCGCTCGGAAGCACGTTGTACAAGGTATGGCCACATCTGCAAGGTCCTCGGCCCTCCGAGGTTTCTGCGTCACAATTAGACGCCTTTTTGAGGAAAATACAATGTGTGGAAGATGGGGGACATAAAACTACACCTGTCGCAGGTGCAATTCGACTACCGTAGTGCGGCTGGTGAAAGAGATGGGGGAAAACGCTTGCAAATTGGAATGTAGTGCCTTCACCACATGGGAACAGGGTCGGTGGTAGAAACATGCGGTTGCATCCAAATACAGACCCTTTTCAAAACTTCATCGAGCAATATTTATATTATTTCTTGGATACCAAAAGTATTATTCGATTTGAGTGCTTGCCTAACGCCGATGCAGCACTTGTTCTCGATTTGAGCAGAGTTCACGTCAAATACTGACATACTCCTTGTGTCCAACACGTGCTCAAAGTAAGTGATCAAACTATGGCAGACCCATATAATTGTCACAGCAGGTATTATATGGCGCAGACTTTTGAAAAGGGTCTATTGCAGTGTGCAGTGACAAAGCTGCCTCAAATCCACTGACTTGGCAGGTTTTTGCAATATGTTTCAGTTCTACAGAATAAAAGACCCAGAAGACAAACATGAACGACCACTCTTTGCGAAAGGAAGCGATTGTTTTCCCTCGTCCTCCAAGTTTTTATTCTTTCAAACTCGAATGCTGTAAAATACTGAGCAAGCAACTATCCAGAAGTTGCAGATAATCATGAAAAAATCCAGGAGGATGCCCTTCAAGAGTGGAACGCGATAGCTAGACAAATAAACCCCTGCTCATTCCCAAGCTGCGTCTCCATGGCCTAGTCGGTGGCGCATCTGACTCCCAACCGAAGGTACGTGGGTTTGAATCCTGCCTCTGCCTAAAATCCTTCAAAATTTTTTCTTTAAAGCAAATGATTTACTTATTAAAGTGAAATCGTTTGAGACATGGGACAACCTTTATTTGACATTGCATGTCATGTTTTAATTACTTTCATTCCACCCGTGGAGTCACATTTCACTTGAGCATTGTGGGTTGTTTGACATTCTGGCACGAGGTAATGTGGCTGCGACGTCGTGACCGTATCGACCAATCAGGATTTCCCTGTCCCACTGATGCCGGCTATTCAGCGACACGAGCTCCTAATTGCTATTGCATTGGAATGGGGATGAGTGATTGTTAGATCCAGGAGTGAAAAAACTTTGGGGGACATGGCTAGATAAGCCCTTGTCTGATCTGACAGAACTGTAGTAGGAGCAATACACCTCATTTTTTAAGTAGCTGCGCAATTCTGTCCCAAGTGGTAGGTTCAGAAGAATGCTGGAGTGGGTAATTGATACGTAGTTTGACCATATTTCGAGTGTTTCAAAAGCAGGCAGTGAGCAATCGTTGTGACAAGAAGCCATTATCAGTATTGATTTTACGTAATTTTAAACACCCCCCTCCCCCGAGACGGGAAAAGACGAAGGACGACACAACACAAACCCCCAGTCTCGGGGCTTTGTCTAAAATAATGTTAAATCTTTACCAGCTCGTTTGCACCCTAACTTTTAGTACTGCCAGTTCTCTCAGGGCCCGTTTGCTCGTAGGCCGCTTAACTTTAACCGCAGCAAAAAGTTAACCGCCTTCCCCTATTCGGTGCAGGTACCCAGCCAAGTTTGACGAAGGCTGGACGTGCGATAGCTCCGCATTTTGTTATGGGGTGGTAGCTTGTGCCATCTACAGGTGGTAGCGAATATAAGTGGCTTTCGTGGAACACTTTCTGAAAAAGGGAGACCCGAGTATGCGTGCTGCCAGGTTTTCGCGACTCGGCGCAGCATACGTTTGAGTTTGAGAAACACTTTTGTTGTTGCTCGTGGTATAAATATTGGGTAAGGTAAAACCAAATCAACCAGTGTTTGGCAAATTATTCAATGTTTGCCTGTCTGAAGTCGAGACAAACCTCACTGAAATTTTCTTCCCAGTGCGAAAGGGGACGACAAAGTTTAGTGTTAGAAACAGAAAAGTGAGCAATGAAAGGGGGGCTGCACACGGGCAGCACGTAAGAACTGTACATAAAACCTTCACAAAATTAAAATTGCATACTTTGGCCCCAGAGGAAATCGGAGTGCGCTCTGCTTCCGTGTGCTATCAATGCCCGGCTGATCGAGTCCAAGACGATCCACTAAGATTCCAAAGACGTTGCCATGTTGACAATTGCCACGTCCCTTCAGGGTTAGGAATATCCAGAATTGAAAGACTGTCCATAAAATGGGGCGAGATCATGGCTCATACTTTACGGTTTAAGCGAAATAGGGCAAAGTGAAAGCCTCCCATACCATTCATTGCTGACAAACCTGTCCAATAGCTTAATGTAGTACGCGAGTGCAAGGGTACCCATAGCTTTGGCTTCATTGCCAAGAAAAGTCTCCAAGTATAGTTCCAAACCAAGCGTTGCTCATTGGGAGGGGCACTGCCATCCCTGTTCTGCCAGTCACGCGTAACCTAAAATCCCCCGCCCCTCCTCCCCCCCCCCCCCCCCCTGTAGAAAAATGCAGTTAACTTTCTGCTGCGGTTAAAGTTAACCAGCTGAGTAGCAAACAGTTCCAGCTGGTGCAGTAAAAACGTGAGATCAGTCCCAGCCCCTTCACCACTGTTGTTTTCACCTCGGGGATAGACAGTGTCAACGTACAGTTATATAAAAAGTTAACTGCACAACCCTCAAGGGCTTTGCACTACAAGTCTTGGCTTATTTTCTAAGCTACACTGTCAAGGCAGTTATAATTGCACTACAAGATCTAATCATTGACTCATCTATATGCCTCTGAAACTTTCTGGAGTTTGGTCAGAGACACCTAAAGAAAGGTCATGTTTGAAGTGGAGCTATTAAATCTTATGTGGGTGTACATCCATCCCATTATACATGGCCAGCATCAACATCGCAACAGCTAGACTGCTGCGGTTAGCACGACGGCTGCTGAACACATACCTCCCGCAGTGCACATTTCGCACCACCAAATTTGTGTCTGCCAACAAGCTGGAAATGGCCACCAGCGTGGTGTGATGACATCACGTGCAAGCCGTGTACTGCCTCCGCTGAAGGCTTCTATGGTCCTGGTCAGGGTGTAAGATAGACAGGTGGGGAAACGGCCCATAGAAACCTACCACAGCGCCGTGACCGGATTGTGTACTTGTCTGCTTGCGGGTACCCCCGATTTGCGACAGATGGCGCTGCGGCAAGAAGAAAAAAATTGGAATCGAATTTGCACGGAACTTTATGGGAGAGTGCGCAAAATAAACTGAGAGCACGACAGTCCTCCATTGAAAATCCACGAGAAACCTTCTCCATCAGTTTAACCGGTCGCCAGCGTTCGCCCACTTGGAGTGAGAGTTCGCGGTGGCGCCACAGAAAAAGAGAAAACCAAGGGGGACACAATGCGGTCGCTCATTTGGCTCTCGTTTCACCACCTGTCTATCTTACACCCTGGTCCTTCCTCGCCGTACAGACTTCTTGCCTCTGTGACACGGCTGATGTCACATGCAAGCCATGTATTGGTTTTGCTGGAGGCAAACATATCCTGGTTGTGTTCCCACGGCGTTAGAATTTCCTGACTGCACAGAAGTCTTGCTTTTAGGACACGACCGAAGTCGCATGCATATACCATCTATGCAGAAGGGAATTTTGAGAGTGACTTGTGCAGGGTATGTAAGGACGGGCAACGCTGCAGCATATTGTGTGGGACTGTGAACAACGGGGGCATGAGGCATCGGGGACCCAGGACTGGCCGGAGGACTTCAAGGATGGTGTGATGTGTGTGGACTTGGAGGGACAAAGGGGTTTCGTCCAGCGAACCCGGAGCTTGCTTCACCGGCAGACTGTGCGTAGGTGTGTTGGTGAAGGGGTGACGGAGGGGTAGGGGTTTTCGCAGGACCAATAAAGAGGTTTTCCACCACCACAAATTTGTCTGCTTATTGGCTCTGATTAAAGGATAGTGGGAAGACCTCAAGGTAGCTTGCTTTGAGGTCTACCCGCTATCATCGGAGCTCTGCGTTCTGACGTCACCACAACCCTGCAAAAGAAGCAGACGAACTTGCGCTCTGGATTGCTTTTGCTGGAGGCTTCCATGGTCCTGGTAGTATGGTGCCTGGATCGCGTCTTTGACTGGTGTGTTTACCGCGGCCAAAAAAGTGGTCCCTCGATTTCCGCCTGATGACGTCATGAAGTGTCATGCTGTCGCCGGTCGCGACCCTGGTGGCGTCCCAACAGTTATGGTGTATGTAGAAGATGCCTGTTCTGCTGCAGGTCGCTTTCCACTGTGACAGTTCACGGAAGCTAGTGCAGCCGGAAGTTGGGACGCCTAACGGGACGCCGTGACGACAGCGACACTCGCGTTCGCTCGTGCTTTTTGCCAGCATTTCTACGGCCAACCGCCAGGATCGCGACAGGCAACAGCATGACACTCGCGTCATTTGTTGCCACATCGGGACCACTTTTGATGTATGGGCGGGATAGGACGCTAAACACACCAGTCGAAGACGCGCTCCAGGCACCATACTGGTAGTTTCTGACTACACAGAAGCCTTGCCTCTTGAATACGAGCGTTCATGGCTCCAAGAAAGCTGATTCCCTCTACAGGCCTAGCGCAGTCCGCCCACCGTGCGTCGTGCTCACGCCGGCATTCGCGTGCCCGGTCGTGTGAAGGTGCGGTCACGTGGATGGCGTTTTGTTGGCCTTCCACGCGAGGTAAGTGTTCCAGACGAGGCCGACTCCGCTGGTGAATGGCAGCCGGTAGGGCAGAGGCACCAGGTGGAAGTTGACCAACTGCGCGGCCGGCCACAGCATGTACCCCGTGGTCAGGATGGGCACGTAGTCTTTTCGCAGCATCTGCTTGGTGTCCGACCAGGGCCGCCGCTGGAGGAAGCCCAGGCACGTCAGGAAGCCGGCCAAAAACACCGGGCTGAAGAGGAGCTGATCGACGAGCACCTTCTTGAGGACGCCTCCGCGCGCGCCGAAGACGCGCTCCAGGACCACAAACCAGGTGCGGATGGTGGGTCCGACGAAGCCGACGCCCAGCACGAAGAAGCGAGCTGCCCGGACGACGTCGAGGGACTCTCTCTTCTCGATGGCTTTCTGGGCGATGACGTCGCCGGCGAGCATCAGGCTTCCCGTGGTCAGGATCTGGGTCTTGGCCGGGTGTGCCCGCATCATCCGGCTGTACAGGGACAGCAGCATCGTCGCTGGAGTGGGCGAGTCGACAACCTGAGCGCCGTGTGGCTTTGGTCCACGTGTGGGGAACCGTACCACGTGCGCTACCACACGCAGGGTAGTCAAACAGGTCGAACCTTGGGGAGACTGAAAAGTGTTACACTTCACAGACTTCACACTCCAGTGTCCTGACGGCTCCAGATCAAAGCCACCGCAGGACTATAAAAAGTGCTCCACTCCCCACGGCGACCGCGGAGACAAGACTCGGCACGGGGCACACAGCTGACACAGCGACACCGGCCACACAGCTGCCACAGCCAACACCTGTGGCCAACCAACACCTCCACTACCTCCACACAGCACCCACAGCGACCATGCCGACCACGTGACCGTGCCCTAACTTTTTTTTTCCGAAACCCGAAACGGCCAAAACCTGAACATGCGCTCGGAGCGGCCGAACCACAGGTCACTGCAGCCACGGCAGCCACCAACGGTAGCCACCGCAGTAATAGCCACTGTAGCCACAGTAGCATTGCACTGTAGCCACTCTAGTAGCCACTACTGTAGCCTCTGTAGCCGAGCCCATTTTTAGTCGATGTTGACCAAACCTACGTTCGTCAGCAGGCTCTGCTCGTCAGGCTCTGTTCATCGCGTTCGTGAAAAATAGGTATTTTGCAGTGAAATGTGCTAAACATACTGCTCTACGTCAGTTATGCTTTTTATTTTTAGAAGTTTTTTTTCCTACCACTTTTGTTTTTAGAACAATTTCAAAACCGGAACCGAAATCGAAACCGGTCAGAGCCAACCACCGCAGGACCGCAAAACATACGCGCCAAGAGGAGAGCCTTTGGCTTTCCACACTTATTTTAAAGAACGCACAACCAAATCTGACATAATATATATATATATATTATGACAGGCTAGGTCAACCTGAACTTTTCTCGTAGCCTCAACGAATGGTTGTGGGACCGACGGGCTAGCTGTTATTCAAAACTCTTATGAGAATAGGAAACATTTAGATACTTCCACGAGGCGCTTCTTCGCAGCCCGATATTCACGTCCGATGAGCGTAAAACCATGCCGCGCGTAAGATACCCTGACAAAGAGCAAATACGCGCATTCTGGTATGAATAATTTGGGATGATGACGTCTGCAGGTACGCAATTACCTGATTTATAACGTCCCTACTCACGTGACTTTTTTTTTTTTATTTGATGAAGTCATCGGTTATCTGCTACCTTTTTTATGAATTTTGATGACGTCATTGGTGGTCTTTTGCATCTCTTGTTGTTCCCATCCGCCGTCACGAGCGCCTACGTCATCCTAACTGACGTGGATTTGTGGACGACATCGAACGGGTGGCGCAGGAGAGCGCGGTGGCTAGTAAAACATCATTCATCCTCAGTCATTCACAGGACCTACGCAGCCTTGCTGCGCAGATCACGTGCACTACATCATCGTTATTGAATCCCATGGGATTAATCAGAGTTATTTTGCAGTACACTTCTTGAAGCAGCCACTGCTCGTTTTAGGGCAGCATTTAATTGTCAATTTATACTTTCTTAATCTTTGCATGTACTCAAACAAAAGCCATTCCTTTTGTTTAATTAAATGCTCATTGCAGCATCTGCTTTTAGAACATACGCTGAGCTCATGAAGCACGTAACATGAACACTTAAGGTAGTACAATTTAGATATGGAATATCATTTCGTTTTAGAACTTGATTGTATTCGGTAGTAAATATAATAACTACCGAATTGTGATGGTGTTCGTTGAAGTTTAGAAGGTTGCAGGAAAATTTTACAATTCTTTATACAATTAAAAAAAGCAAAGCTTTAAAATTTAACCGTGCACGTCTATTGCATGTTAATATCATTTCGTATTGGAACTTGATTGTATTCGGTTGTAAATAATAATAACCGAATTGTGATGGTGTTCTTTGAGGTTTAGAAGGTCGCAATAGAACTTTACAATTCTTTATACAATTAAAACAAAGCTTTAAAATTTAATCGTGCACGTCTATGGCATGTTACTAGAAAGTTCTAGGAATACGCACAATCAGCATACGGGCAATAAATAAGCACATTAAAAAAATTAAGTTCAGCTCGTTAAGGTATAAATTAATTTAGTTTTATTTTAAATTTGCAGTGCCTTCGAACAGGTGGAGGTCAATACAGAGGTGTAACAAGACGAGGAATTGACGTATTAAACCCGTGTTGCAGCCCAGCTATCAAATCAAACTTACTTAGAAATTATATATCAGCTATATGACATTGTGAAAGCAAAAAAAAATAAAAAAAAAATTAACTGCCATCGACACACGAGCAACTTATCGGGTCAGACGCATTTTTGAAATACTAGCACAGTTCTATTCAAAATCACTTTCATAAATATTTTTTTTATGCCTGACACGTGCACGTGCTTCATTCGCTCTCCAAGCGTTTTTTTATTATTATTTATTAATTATATTACGCGCTTGCGCTGCGATCAGGCTTGAAACCCCGAAGTTGCGCTGTCAACTCCGTGGGTGTCGTTTCTCCACAGTGCAGCGGAGCTCACAAAGAAGCACACTCAACGAATCTTACTATCCCGTCCGAACACACCAAAATAGCGAAACTCATATTGGATACTGTTCGATTGGTGCGCGTTAATTATTCGAAGTGATAACAGCACGCTTCGAAGATTTTTCACAAGTCTGCCCTAACAAGAAATTTGGCCATTGGCGCAAATTCTTCACATTTTTAGGGAAATTAACTAATTAAGGAAGCGGGATGTGGCAGCAGGGTCGAATTTAAGGGTCAGGTAGGGGGGTCAAATCGACTGGAAAGGCGTACGCATCTGCTGAGAGATCTGCGACGTCACGGCCGCGGGCAAAGCATTGCCCAGATTTATACATTTCTTTCTAAAACTCCGAACTCACCACAAAGTAAAGCTGTGTTTGAAGATTTACCTTGAACTTTTTCTTCTACGAACTACTACAATTCGTTAGCATTTGAGAAGCGCGGGCCCGGAGTCTCGCAGTAGTCATGCTTGCGGTTTGAGCCCGTTCACACATAGTGACCCTGAAGTTTGCTTCCAAGTATCCAGTAAGGTCACGAAGAGGCCCAGTTCAGTGCCCTTAAAAATATTCCGCTTTTTTTTTCTTTTTTTTTTTTTTTTACTATTTGTGCGTGTGAAATCTGCTGAGGAACGTCCGATTCCGACAAACCTTACGACAAAGAGGGGTCTAACCGAAGCCCACAACGCGGTTTGGCCGTAGGCGCCGACAAGGCAATGTCGGACGGTAATGTTCCCTTCACTTGCGCCGCCGCGTTTACAGAAGCTGTAGGTAGTTACGTCGGCGTTCTCATGAGATCGCCAGATCGCCCTGTTTTGGATGATGCAATGCGAGTCAATTTTCGGCGAAAAGCCGAAGCACTACCCTTCGACTGTTGTGATTCCGCCTTAAAATAAAATACCGCCACGTGCTAAAACGAACTAAAAAAAATACGATTAAAATTTGGTTACACTAGCCTGAACCTTATTTTTAAACGAGTTATCAAAACGACCAAACTGTGTCCTCGCTTTGGGTCGCGGGGTTTCCACTCCAACTACGAAACGTGCAATGGCGTATTAATACAGCCTCTCCGCCACATTCCAGGCTGGCGTGGACGGACTACATCATCATTCGTCTCCATGTTTCCATATCAGCAAGATCGACAAATTTCTGCGCGCTGGAAGCCACCAGTATGACGGACTAGTTGTCGTTTCCCGCTCGCACCGCAAGGTGCTTGCACCTTTAACCAACGAAAATGGAGTAAGTAGAAACGCCTGTTACTCCCGATGCCCGCCGAAACCGAGAAACAGCCGCCTGGGAGGCAGGAAACGTGCAGCGCTGTCCGCCATGTTGACGTCACTGTGCAGTTTCAGCCATTTCAGCTGGATCGAGGGGGAAACTTGACTGGAGACAGCGCGTTGAGGCCGTGTCGGGCTGTTAATTGAACATCGCGTCTCCAGCTGTTCATTGAACTGCGTAACTTTCGCGGCGGTAGATGGCAATTAATGTGGAGGTTATGGGGCATTGCAGAATTCGGGGCAAGAGGAGCTGTTTGCGATAATTATTGCCTTTTGTTTTATTTATATTATTATTATTATTATTATTTTTTTTTACTGTACTTAACCGGTAAAATGTGGGGTTCGTCACTACTCTGAGTCATCCATCCAAGCGAGTTCGCGCCTGCGCATCGTTGTTTGCGGAAGTAACCAGAGCGCCCTCACTTCGCAGCCTTTCTTCCGGCATAGCTTCCCGATTCCAGAAAACAGGTGTTGCCAAACTAAAAAGTAGCCAAGTCACGATTTTGTTTAAGATCTTAAAACATTGCTAATGTAATGTGTTTCAAGAGTAATCATGTTTATTCCGGCTCAGCACAGCCTCGGTGACTCATAACACTAGGATGGTACGATGTGGTGAATTCGTAGGATGGCAGCATCATAAAGTCAGCAGCATCATAAAGCAAACAGTAAACTGCAGAGTTGCAGGTTAAGACGTGGTTGTTCCTGGATGCCATATTTGAGGTGACTGCTCGCAGCGCATGCTCGGGAGGGGAAGGAGAAATTATCTTCTCACCGGGACTTCTTTGTGTGTCCTAGATTTACCCAGACGTCGCTATTCTCCCTCTAGAGGATCAACCCTCGATTAAAAATTCACTAAGGCAGCTTTCCCTTCTCTTCTTCCCTGGTGGTGCGGAACGGATGATGTGATGCAGTTCTTCCGGTTCAATGGTTCAAATGTCATGTAGCTTCCACTGCCTTCTGAGCTTAGGGGTGAGAGTATAGGAACCACCGTATCAGAAGCAGACGGTGGCAGGGAGGCTTTTTTTCCCCCCCCGGTAATACACTGCATACTTTTAGGTATACAGTGTGCTACCCGATACGGAAACAGTTTAACAGCATGACGAGCATGTTGGCTCTGTGTAAAGAAACTACTGTTCTTTCTATAATTGCCATCTCTCATCAGTTAACACTTGCTAAAATTAAAACTACCCGTGTAAAGCCACGAGAAACACAGTTGCCAACAACGCAAAATAATAAAATAATAGTTGCAACTGTTTTTGGATAGAGCCATTGAGCTTTGCTCATACGAGCCGGTACTCAATCGCTCGGCGAGATATCGACAATCTGCCAATCTGCCTCCCTCGACGTCTGTACTCACCGGAAACGTTCGCAATCTGCCATTGTCCAGGGAATCTGCACGTCAAGTGCTCTCCAAGATAATACTCTGAAAACTTGCGGAAAAACTAGCTTAAAGACAGTTCTGGCACGCCAGTGAATGCTTATCGCGGTCCTTACATAAACTACTTTTACCGAAAAACATGGTTGCACTTGAGACAAGGACAAAGTAGGGAACAACCAGAAATTGTGTGCTCTATGGGGGTGCAGGTGTTTAGTAACCCCAGATTCAGGCACATAGCCAGGATTTTGCTTGGGGGGGGGGGGGGGGGGGGGGGAGGTGAGGTGAGGTGGAGGTGTCCTGCCCATGACAAAATGCTGTATGAGGGGGAGGGGGGAGAGGAGGCCCCAGCAAAATGAAAGATTTTTTTTTGGGGAGGGGGCGGTGGGAGGGGCTTGGGTTCCATGGCCCCCCCCCCCCCCCCCCCCCCCCCCCCACCGGCTACGTACCTGCCCAGATTAACTTCAGATTCTCTCGATCGTCTCCAACACAGTGCTCTGTGTTGTCCAGTCTCCTACTTTGTCCTCGTCTCCAACACTACCATCTTTGTGAATACCCAGTACCAACTCGCCCAACAATCTATTTTTCCTGGTCTGGAAATTTCGGCAATTTAAGCCCTAGGAAATTGTGTCACCCCAATCTATATGGGAATAAAAATATAAAAAGAAAAAATGAAAATGATGTTGGATGGAGGTTTTATCCTTGGCAGTGTTAATCTTTGTGGCTTTGAACACAACTCGGTGACCTTCTGCAGGTCGGCAGAGATGCATAGAATCGTGAAGTTGAGCCGAACAACCACCCGGAACCAAAAGCCGTTAGACACGGCAAATTGGTATCCTTGTGTGCTCCACGGAGGTGCAGGTGTTTCTGAAGCAGCACCTTTAGGTTTACAGCTCTGTTCCTTTTCCATTTGCTAGGGCATGGGTTCCCAAACTGGACTTCCCAGAGTACCGTCGGGGGTTCTGCAGAATAGCCTCGGAATAACCTCAAAGTAGCTTCAGAGTAATCTCAAATTTACTAGACCGTCTCTGTTCCTATGTAAAGCGTTTCTCCTGTTTAAGCAGTTTAAGAAAATTAAGCTGCCCACTGAAGCATGACTATTAGCCAATCACTCCCTAGTATGTGGATTGTTGTTTAGAGGGCCCATCTTACTGTATCAATGACAAGACCAGGAAGTATTCCTCGTCCCCCGATTGAGGGATGGGCGTTCCTCGTGATAGAAAGCTACGAGAATGCATGCTCTTGGGCAGTAGTTCTCAAACTAAGGTCCTCAAGAGCGTTTGTAAGTACCTGTGCCCCCCCCCAAAAAAAAAAATGCTTTTGAGAAGTTTTTTTTTTATGCCATTCCACAAAATCTTTGTTGCATAATGCATTGAAGGTCCCCAATTGGCGTCTGAGTGTCTCGCAAGTCAGTGACAGCCGAAAGTTTGAGAACAACTGCTCTTGGGGCATGAGTATTGTGCACTGTCATTCTAGTAGCCCCTTTCTGCAGGCAAAAGGCTGCCAACAATATTTTTTTCACTGCCTTTTTTTTTTAAATACCAGGAGTTTGCTTTGTATTTTTGTGGAGCAAAGGTATTCCTAAAATATACCTTCGCCGAAAATTTGAGATCATTAGCAAGTGCTGCCTCTATTATCAGCAACCCTCCTATCTACCGATTGTGATCAGGCGTAAAAAAATGTTAATTTGCATTTGTTTTGGGCCAGTAATTTTAACAATGAACACTGCTTGTTCCAATCATGAGCTTATCATTATTCACGTTTTGTTGGTTCAATGAGCATCAACTTTTGCTAGCGCTAGTACAAACGGTTTGAGGTTTTCGGTCAGCTTGTCGCAGTGTGCCCGACTAGGTTGTCTTTTGGCACGGTTACACATGGATCACACTGAGGGTGAGCGTGGCATGCCTGCCAATAGTCTCCCAGGTCACCTGTACAATGTATGCATTCTGACCATTGCGTACGATTGGCAGGAAAGGTTGAGGAAAGATGCGGAAAATATGGTTTTCGGTGCCAAACCTGCTGTATGTTCAGCCACTGCCCCCATTACACCAGAAATATCTATACGAGTAGATTGTTGTGTACGAAAGTCGCTTCGTTTGCAAGCTTTTGTGTTGGAGTATTAAGAAAGGTTATACTGAAAATGGTCCCTTTTCACCGAGAATGTTGAGAGCAAAAAGTTTGGACAACAGTTTATTAATGAGAAAAAATAATGCCACGACAAGGACAAGCAGAATGGAACAGGACAAGCGCCAACTGGGAACAGATTTTACTGCATGCGAAAAACATTGCTGATTATAGTTGGGGAGAGGTTAAGAACGGAGTAGAAGCTCTGCCTCCAGCACAAGCTCGTTGCTTCGGTTGCATGTGCTGCAAAGTGTTATCAAAGGCAGAGCATTCTGCCTTTCAACATGTCGCCGACTATAACGCACTTCAGCTTGTCTGTATTTGTAGCACAATTTGTTCTTGATATGTTTACCGAACTAGGCGAGCGGTCCATGTTAGTGCAGTTTATTAAAATTGCGTCTAATCTGCAGATGTTGACACTTTTTTTTTTTTTATGTTTAAGGGTAGAAGGGCGATGCTATCGGCAGGCGGTTACTTGGTGCCCACACAGAATGGCGGTGACACGTTTCTGGGGAAGGCCAAGTGGCACTTGTAACCGATGTTGCGGCGCCGTGCAGGTTCCCGGGCTGTTATGCCTCGCTGCTCGCCCCTACTTTGGCAAGACGAACGAAGGTTGTCTACTGCCCGTACCAAGCGTCGTCGGTTTCCACATCCCCGAGACAGACCAAATCCAAACCAGCAAGCGCCGTGAGCCACAGACGACATGGAAGTCGACTGGGACTTGGACTCGGTGCTGGAGCTCTGCTGCTCCAAGCTGAGCCCCGAAGTCGAGCTGCCAACGCTCGACGATGAAGGTGGGTCGCTCGTACCCGCGTGGGTCAGTTGCGTCCCCGGCAAAGATGCGAGCTTCCCCAGCTGCCAATTGGGCCCCGCGGCTTTCTGGCACACAAGCGCCGTTCTCCCACGAGAATTTGGCCCCTTGGCGAATCCACGATTGAGCAATGTTTTGACGAGATTCTCACTTGCACACTGATAGCGGAAAAGGTGTCTGCTTTTGAGGGCTCGTCTCGGGTGCTCGTTTTTTTATTCACCATTCCAGCTTGGGTACATTAGCAAAACAATTCAAAATTTGCGAGAGAAGTCTGGGTTGTTGATTGCTTTCAACGTAAAACAACAGACTATCACAACAAATTTGTGTTAATTCAGGTGAGCTGTTGTGTGCTCAACATGATGGTGGACCCTGACTCTGGGGTGGATAAAAAAAGCAAAACAGTAAAAGAGACAGAAAATACTTTGAGCCTTTCCACTCTGGTGAGGAAGGAAGGCCAGCAATGCTGTACTATGGTGGGAGTGAAGTAATGGCTGGCCACAAGTCGGCAAGCCAGAGTGGAAAGGCTGGAAAGTTTGCCGCCGTCACTCATAGATGGCGGTAGCTGTCCAGAGTTTTATGTTTTCATTTGTTTGCTGACGGACACGATCCTGCGGAAACTAGCCCTTAACAGCTGCACTGTAAAAATGACGGTCATTGTTTTAGCTTGCATCTGATATTCTTTGCCATTGCATTCAGTTTATGGCAGACCTCTTTTCAGTTCTATTGGCAGCAGACGAATTAATTTTTCAGTTTTATTTCCATCTGCGAATGACAACTTGAAGCATACAAACCCCCGTGATTCATTCAGATTAGCAGACGGGTCGTCTGTTCTACGCGGTTTCACCTTATGGTGTACTGCTAAGGGACTCCACGAGCCATCTAAGCCTGCTCAGTGCCGTGCAGCCTCTGGGAGAGGTGCACCAGAGCTGTGTGTAGAGAGAGCTTGGTCAATGGGAGACGCGTGCTGAGCCAGGGCATGCACCAGATGAGGAAAGGGCATGACATGCTCTCTTGGTTAACCAGAAGCCAAAAAGAATCTCCTAGCAGTGGCAGCGAGAAACAGTTTTCATCATAGGTATATGTTTTTAATAATCAGGTAAGAGTTAAATGTAGTAGCTCTTCATGGTTGAAAATAGGGTGCACATGATGTTTTGATAATGATCATGCGGAAAAATGTAAGAAACGAATGTGTTGCTGGACAGAGTGTGACCGCTCGGTCGGCAGATTCCCGGCCCTCGGCACCGGGCATACGGATTATGTCGATCGTTCCGTTAGTTGCGCTCTTCTACCATGATTTAGGATGACCGTGACTGAAACATCACTTCAACCATATTTTCATGCACCGAGAGTTACTCTGACGTACTTGTTAAGTTTGTTTCTCGCGACCACCGCCAGGGTAATATTTCCAACTTCTGGTTGGCCACATTTGAATTTGTGAAGACGCCCTGGAACACGCCCAGCCGCTTTTGGCGAATGGTGCCTCCTCCTTTCCCTCCTATACTTCCCGATGAATGGCCATACTCTCTACATATACTGCTCTGGGGTGCACAGACACACTAAGCCCATAGTCATGCCTTACCTTTACAATGTTGGATTGGCTGGGTCGGCTTACTCAGTTGTGGCCAAATTAGACCACTCTTGTTGCGAGCTGAATCGGACCCTAGTGGCACCACCTATTGCATCTCCTGGCATTGTCTCGCAGGGCATCTTGACTGGCTGGACGAGAAGGTGGACTTGTCCGCGTGGGCGGACCTGGACTTCCCGGATGACCTGCCTCCGGCAGCGATGACGGAAGCCGGCCACCCGCCCTTCGCCGACCGCCACCTGCCTCGCGTCTCCAGCGGACCTCCCAAGTCTGAGGACCCGTGGCAGTCCGCCGAGACGGCCTACTTTCCCTCGCCCGAATACATCTCCCCACCAGACTCCCCCGGCACGCCAGTGGCCATCGTCCCCAACGTCGACATCTTCCTCAACCTGAGTCCAGCGTCCTCCATCGAGACCTCTGTCCGTTCGCCGGACGCCGAATCTTTGGACGGCCTCCCGGGAGACGCGGACCCTTCCAACGACTTCCCGCCAGAAGATGCATCCAAACATGCGGCCGCGGAGTACAACTCCCCGTCGCCGCCCTACTCTCCGACGCTCCAGAGTCCGGAGTGCTCTTGCCTGGCTTCGTCGCAAAATGCCGACGAGATGGAGTCGACCGGCGTCGCAGAGTCTTTTCCGGAAATCATTGAGGAAGTCGTCGCGGCGCCCTCGACCTCCATGGACCTCCAGATGGAGTGCCAGGATGATCCAACGGACCGCGATTTTGTCCCCGAAGAGTCCGAGTCCGAAGAGGAGCGTCCGAAGGCACGGCGGCCCGGCCCCAAGCGGGGCCGCGCAAAGAAGTCGCAGCAGCAGCGGCGGAAGCGGAAGGCCGCGGACGCGGGAAGCCGTCGGGAGCGCAAGCGCCTGCAGAACAAAGACGCCGCCACGCGGTACCGTCGAAAGAAGAAGCAGGAGTGCGACGTGGTGGAGGAGGAGTTCCAGGAGTTGAGTCGGATCAACGACAACCTCAAGGCGGAAGCGGCGCGCGTGGGGAACGAGGTCTCGTACCTCAAGGGCCTCATGCGAGAGCTGTTCCGCGCCAAGGGCCTTCTCCCGTAGGCCCCCCGCCACGTCCGCACCCGCGAGGCCTTTCGCCCTTGAGTGAGGATGGGACATTGGTGCGGCGGTCGCCGGGTGTGCTGCTATACTTATTATCTACCGTCTACATTTATCATCTGTTATCCCTCCTGGGTTATTCTTGTGCGCTCTCATTTACATAATGGAATAAAAACGAAAGGTTACAACCGTTTTGCTCCCTCGTGTGTTTCTTTACACGTACCGAGCGTGCAGCCGTCCCGCAGCACGTGCCACTTTCCTTTTGTTATGCTTTGGCTGCACGTGCGATCGAGCGTTGTAAAAGCAGAGCTGGAGGCTGACCGTCGACTGGGCTTTTAATCTGTTACCAATTGTTGCTAATAGAGGTGCTCCTCCTCGTCGGCCACTTCTCCATGCACCTCTGTGCAAATCTGTGAAGCTCGTCCTGCCGTGTGGCCCTACTGCATTTTTGCTCTCCAAATTTTGGGGTGGGCATTTGGTGCATATGTTATGGCAGTTTGGCTAGGTTTTTTCCTTGCCATATAATTCTGCATTTTCAGAGTGTATTTCTCGTGAATCTGGGGAGCTTTTTTCTAAATTTTTCAATGAAAATTTAGAATTTTTTTTTTTTTTAAGATTGCATTTTTCTAATTCTGGGTTTATTTAATTGTGCTTTTAAACTGAAAAAAAAAAAAAAAAAAAAATTGGGTACCATGATCTGTTGTACCGAAGGAACATCGACATACTAAAAGGCAAACCATTTTTGTCAGTTGTTTGAGATACCAAAGAAGTGGCATATGAGGACCACTGACTCTGTGCTCTTCTAAGTTTATTTGTAAAACCCAATGTATTTTTTGCTTTATATTGTCGTTTTGATCTTGATATCAGTTTCTAGAATAAATCCGAATTGACGAAAAACGTACCGGCGAGTGTTCTTAGGATTTTTTCAGATTTATTCAAAAGGCATTGCCCTACATATAACCTTTGTGTGGTAGTGGGAAGGAGAAGTTGACCTTGAGAGAACGCTGTCCCATTTGGGGACGCGAAAGTAGAGTTGCCGCTATCTGCTTTCGTGTGGTGTTGCACAGTAAAGGCCCGTTCACACTTGCGACTTGGGACAGTCGCTGGAGCGACAAGTGACTGGCGACCACCACTGTTCACACCTGATTGAACGCGAGCCGGCTGAAAGGTTTTTCTGATCAGAGGTGCCGGCAGGAAAAAAACAAGAAAACGTAATGGTGCTTCGGAACGTAAAACAACGGCTATATGCACGCTCCCTCAACCGGGATATTTTTGGTACCTGCCATGCCGAAAATGTCGCCGATCTCGTTTTAGGCCTGCAGCTTTTTGCCCCGATCCTTGTGGTCGGGGCGCCACTTATTGTAAAGAAACAAATAGTCTGACAGCATTAATAAGAGCTTCCGCGGAGAACTCCATGCCAGTGACCGCCGCCGTGCGCGCGTCGCTATTTCCTGCGGGTAGCAGTGCCAGATGTAAACAAACGCAAACACCACTTCCGACGAGACTCTGATTGCTTCCGCCGTCCAGCGACTCGGTTTTGCGACTTGAGAAATCGGTCAAGGAGCGACTGCCTAAAATCGGTTGCTACCAACCTGTCTTGGTCACTCCGCGGCCAAAAACCAGTCGCCAGCCGCTGGTCACTCCAGCGACTGTCGCAAGTGTGAACGGGCCTTAAAGGGGCCCTGCAATCATATTTAAGCGTCTAACTTTTTTGCGGTTTCCACGTCTCTCGAGGTTCGGGCAAGCCAGCGGGCACGGAGAGAGTAACTAAATATCAGTGCGTCATATTTTAACCGGACGACGCGGAAACCTCCTCCGCCGACGAGGGCGACCTGCGGTACCGAAAGCGCGCGAAATGTGACGTCTTTGGTCCTGGGCTTACTACTGGTCAGAGCTGCTAGAAGCTTCTTTTTAGTCGAAATACAAAACAAGTGGCGCGAACCGTTTCAATATTTTATAAAAGTAGTTTTTGTTCAGTATTTTAGATCAGGAAAGAAACAAATGCAGTTTATAAAGTACGGAAGCAAGAAATGACCCGTCGACATACCCGCCACCAAGCGATGGAAAAGGCGGCGCATACTAGGAATGAGTAGTGGCATCAGGCGCCGACACGGAAAGATCCCGGATGTACGCGGCGGCGCTGCGGTCGTTTACGGAGTGGAGGATCCGACCGGCTCCGAGCGTTCCGAAGGCCTTCAGCGAGTAGCTTTGTCTTGCGTTTTGGCCATTTCGCGGTATGGCAGCGCGAAGTGGCTCCCATTCTGAACAGGTCGTTACCCCGTGTTTGCTGTCGTTTGTGGCCAATGAAGTGTTATGCCGAATTAGTGTTTAATCGCACAGCAAATGCAGTGAGAGCCACTCTGGCTGCCTGCTGTATACAGCCTATCCAGAACTCTGCAGAACACGCTTTAGTGGCGCCCTCTCGCGCCGTCGACACGCATGCGGCAGCCGTGAGCGCTCGCTGAGCTGACTATCCCTCCTCTAGTTCACGGCCACTCAAGCAAACAAGGACGTCATGAGGGAGGTTATTTTTTGCTTGCTTTTGTAATTTTAATTTGCCTATAACTTTTAAAATAAAGCGAATTTCGAGAAAAGAAAAGTTACATTACGTTACTACGGTCAGTGCGCTCAGGTTTGGTGCAAATTAAAAACCAGTAAAAAAGTGCTTGCAGGGCCCCTTTAAGATGCGTGTGTCAACACAGGACATCGAAATTGCTTGCAAGGTACCATTAAGTTGCACTGCTCGTGCACACCGGCTTGAAATACTATGTCTGAAGCATGCGAGAGAAAAAAAAAAGCTAATTCAGGATAGAGCATTGAAGGCACAGCACTGGTCGACGCTACTCTTCTGCCATAGGGTGTTGTCGAACAAGAACCTGTGTCTAAGGGCAGAGCTGTCCTTGGAATTCGAGGATGCACTAGCACCACCTGGCAGCCGGCACCTGATGCAAGGCACACGCAGAGCCGTTTATACCGAGAGAATTTGGCCGATGGGCGGAGCTTATGGCCCCCCTGGAACGAGCGGGCTTCGCAATAACACAACATGTCGTGTTATCTCATAGGTAGACGACGATGCTTCGTTAAGCGTCTGCAACACGACATGGTGGAGGCAACATACCGCGAAAGTCGCTGGTTTATGAAAGAGCAGTTTCTCCTTCATCTCTTGGCGAGACAATCCAAATTCCCGGTGACGAGTTGCTTTATAAAGATATTTCTCGAATACAGAGATTTCGTTATCCACACATTGGCTAAACGAGCCCACGTATTCGCACCGCCACCACGTGCCGCGTCGGTGACATTGAAAACATATTTTTCTGTCTTTAAATATGCAAAAACGACAAATCTGTGGAGATAAGCATGATAACACACAGTGCCAAAGATGCTTAGTATATTGGTAAGGAACGCTTTCACTATGATGATGCTTCGCAGAGATCTTGGTGCAACTGGTTTAGAACGACCCTTTCGAAGATTTGAATGGACCGAAATGGCGATTGCCACGGCAACCGAGACTGATCTGCGAATCAACTTACAAGGTTTGGTCGTCTGTATGTTAGTATTTGTTTGTGTCTGGCTAGCAGGCAGGGCGCTACTTCCCCAGGATCTAGTGACTAGTACATACCGCCGTCACTGTCGTCGTGGCGTCCCAACTTGTGGCCGAGCAAACTGTGGGGTTGAAGGGTGACCTGAGTGTGTTCCAGACACTGAAAGTCCTCGTAAACCCCTGCCAGGACACCTGACTCAGATTTCCCAAATCTAGTTTATTGGGGCACGAAAGCCAATCCTCGCCGTTTCTTGGACGGGCAGTCCTTGGCCGGCGTCCGTCCGCGTGCCGGTCGACGCGACCCAGTCTTGCGCATATAAATTACTGTACAAGAAAGCCCCGCTCCGTCCCTGCGTCGCAGCTGACGTACGGAACCCGCCCACACAATCCCGGAGCGTAGTCCCCTGCCGGGCGTTTGCCATGGGGCCTCTTTTCCGACAACCGTCGCCACACGAGGAACGCCCCGACTCCGTCCGGGGCCGCGGGCAACGGCGATTAAGACTAGAATATGGCCGGCTGCGGTGCGTCTTGACGCACAGTGTTCGCGCACCGTCCTTTTCTTTTTTTTCTCCGGCAGCGAATGGCACGCACTCCTCGGAGGCTGGGCCGGTGTCCGCGGGCGAGGGTTCGGGGGCGCTTGCGTTTCTTTGGCAGGACTCGCTCTGCGTCGTCGGGCAACCTCGGGCGCGGGGCCCGTCGTCTGCGACGTTGCGTCTGCTTGGGCTCCCTTTCACCGGAACTCGTAGATCTGGATGCTGTGCTCGGGCACGTGCGTCAGCGTCAGAGACTGGTACCTGCAAGAAAAGGGAAGCGTTGAGGTTCGATTAAACCGCAGAGTTAATATTATGATCTAGAGCGGGAGTCTCTTAACACCGGCCCGGTTGTTTAATACTTACTCTAACGTTAATTTCCATGTTTAAATGCTAATTTAGGGTTATCCACATAGTTTTGCTTTGATTTTACTAATTACTCTTTTTTCCCCTGAACCCTCGAGACTGCAAGAGATCACACATCCGGCCTCTTAGCCAAAATGTTTGGAGACCTTCGATCCAGAAGGAAAGGTCCCACGCATTTCGGCCGCTTCAGGATGGTGGGGCATAGACACGGATGTCCGTGGTCCCGATAAGACCATATCGCCAACGACGCTATGATATAAGCAAAGAAACTGGGAAAATATCCCTTGCAAAGTTCGTAACGAGTGTTTTTCTAGCTTTATTTTGCACGAAAGCACCGGCGTCGTGCATCGCATAAAAATAAATAAAGTTGACGAGCATTCAAACAACTTTGCTCCTCGTGGCAAAAGGAACACGCCTAACCTGTCGTCTGTTCTTTTCCCTCTGCTTTTCTGTCACTCTCTCTCCCCTTCTTTCTCTCAAGAGCACCGATGTCGGTGTTTAACATTCGCCACATTGTGCTCCCATCTTTACCTCCCTGGATTAAACTTCCCAGCAAGTCCGACTTTCCAAGTGCGCAGTCGAGTTTGACTTTTCGGCAAGTTGAACTGGGCGTCGAGTTCAGCTTCCCGGGTAAACTCTTGACACTGCACTTGCGAGGTGCCGCAGCAAATCGGAGACTTCTCGAGTTGGGCGCCACATTCTTTTGGCCTTCCCGGTTTTTTCTAACACAAGCAGCATCTTTTTTTTGGCAGCTTTCTCGCATCGTCTATGTGTATCAACAAATTTGTTTTCCGTGCTCAGAAAGAAAATAAAGCAAGTTCAGAGCTGATCTGTACACACTGTGAAATAAGGACTTAATGCAGATGGCCGATTCTCTTCAGTGCCTCATATTCTGACGAGCCCCACACGAAAACCATCTTTCCAGCTCGGAATTCGAGCTTACTGTAATATTGTGAGGAATAGCCCGCATAAAAGATGCGAGATACATAAGTGAAAGTGCAACAAAACAATTGAACACATCCTAGCTAGAACGTTGTCTGAAATTTCAGACACCGTTCAACTCGTTGCTTGATTTTCTGGAGTTGACTTGCGCCGTTAAACCAGACAAAAAGGCTGCCGTGCAGCAAACTGTCATGATTTTGCCTTTATCTTGCAGCCTCGATACCAGATACCATGTCCAACGCAACAGAGGAGCTGGACTGAGGCTACAGTGACATGATGAGGTTTTGCTATAGATGCCATGGTCGCCTTTCGTCCCCACGACCATGGCACGGCTGTGCTTCTTTTCATGTTCTTTAGATGCGAGTGCTTTCTGCCTATTTTTCTCGGTTTCTTTGCCTTTCCCTACATATGTTCAGCTGGTTCTATTCACTATCCTTGTACACCTGCTGAAATCGTATGGTTTACAAAATGCCATCACCAAACTGAGGCGTGTCGCTCGCAATTGTGTTGCTACTGTGGGGATGAAATGGGAAACGTGCGAAGGCAGCGATGCTGCCGTGCGTTGTCTGCTATGGGCGCACAGTCAGAAGCATGGACCTCGATGACGCAAGCCTGTTTCCGGCTGAGTTGAACTCTCCTCATTGTTCTTTGTTCTTATTAAAGGTTGTGTTGTATCGCTTCACATGCATAAAAAGTCAGCAAAGCTATAAATATTAAGTCGGGATACTTCCATAACCTTAGTGCTAAGGTTTGTAGAACTGCTGGTCCTATATATTTTTGTTATCTCGCACAATCCATAGCCTTCATAGAACAATGAATGTTGATTAAAAAATTAACCCGACTGATCGCCACCTTTAATAGACTGATCAATCGATAAATCTGTTAGTTAACTTTTCTCGAGTCGTATTACATGAAAGACAATAAAATCCCATTTTTTTACTATATAACCAGGGATGCCGCGAACCACCCTAGGTTCGAATTCGAAAGGTTTAGATATTTTCGAACCAAACTGATGTTCGATTTCGAAAAGTTTCGATATTTTCGACCGTAGGGAGGTTCGAATTCGAAAAATTCGCAACTTTCCAAAATTGTGGGGTTTCGAAGTCGAAAAGTTTGAAGCTTTCACGGTTTCTAAAAGTTTGCGTTCGATTATTTGTTTACTTGAGGTTCGATAAATTCGAAGATTTCAAACTTCCCTAATTTGAAATTCGAGAGATTCGAATGTTTCGAATTTCTTTGGATCTAAAATTTAAAAAATTCGAACGTTTCGTTCGATAAATTCTAAGATTTCGAATTTCTTTCTACATAAAGTTTGAAAAGATTGAAGGTTTTGATTCTCTTTTAAAGCTAAATTAAAAAAAAAAAAAAAAAAATGAATGTTTTTGGTTGGTGTGAAGTACAAGTGCGCAAAGTTCGAAGTCCGGTTTTCATGTTCTGCTACAGTTTCAGTTTCAAATAAAGTTTTCATGCCTCACTGGTTTTCACAAAATGAGGTTTAGAAAAGTTTGGGTGTGTTATTTAGCCTGCGCGAAGTTGGTCAGGCAATTAAATGAGACGACAAGTGCCCGGGATGGGCTGGAATATTTGCCAATGCAGTGACGTGTAACAATAGATCAGTAATTGTGACCGCCAGCCTGGGGTGGTCATTAACGTGCATTACGAAGTAGTGATCCTACGAATGCACTGTTTAACGATATTCGTCCAGTTCGAAACGGCCAGGGGCAGGCAGGTGGTTGAGGTTCAGAAAAACCTTGAAGTGATTTGGCAAACTGCCCCCCTACCCCCTTGCACGCTGGTATTTATCCGATCGAATGCCGCCCGAGTGACGCTGGTATATAGTAAGTTTAGTTTGTACATGATGCAAAATCCTGAGATGGGAATGAAATTTGAAAGAAAAAGTGTAAGAAGACAGAAAAAAGGGGACAGGACAACGTCTCAAACTCAACTCAGCTGAAAACTCAGCTCAGGACAACGTCTCAAACTCAACTCAGCTGGGTTTGAGACGTTGTCCTGTCCCCTTTTTTCTTTCTTCTTACACTATTTCTTGCGAATTTCATTCCCAGTCTCGGGATTTTGCATCATGATCAACATACACCAGCTCGCCTGCACCTTGACAATTTTTTTGTTTGTAATTGCTTGGAAGTTTATTTTCTGGGGCGGAAGAAACGCCGAGCAAAAAGCACAGAAGCTGACGCAACTTGAGGTCGAGGAGCGTTCTACCATACCAGTGGCGCCGGAAGAGGAAAAACGGGGGGGGGGGGGGGGGGATGGAGCTCCAGTCTTTCTTCCTCTCTCTCTCTCTCTCTCTCTCCCCCCCCCCCCCCACGGGAAAGAGGGCATGGTCGAGCTTATTTGAATCTGAAATTATTTACGCATATGTATAGCTACTGTCGCTCTTCACCGCATAAAAGATCGCGTAGATGGTCATTGTTAAAGGGGCCATGAAACGAATTTTGGGCTGAGATAAATTATTTTAAATTGGGACTTTACTAATCGCATATCGTTTAGTTGGTTAAAAGAAAGACGGTAAAAAGTCAAAAGCCAGCTTTTCAGTACTAACATCTGAAAATATAGCGGAGTATTTTGTACCTTCTTTCCTTCGAAAGCTCTCCGCCTTTTCACTATGATACATCCGCGGTTCCCAAAGCGCGTCAGCGGTGCCAACCTGACGTCAGCCGAGCCCAGCTCACGCATTGGACACGAGAACTGCATCACTCGGACGTATGCGCTCGTCAACAATCAATTTATCGACAAATATTCGGATTCGCGTTCGTGGCCAATGAGTGCCCTGATGGAACTTATTGTCATTGGGAAATGACAATTTTCTACATAAAAAGCACGGTGGAAGCTAAGAGTCATCGCACCAGAGCCGAAGAATGTCACGACGACGTGATTTCACAATTCGCATTTGAGTGGAGGATTAAAGCTAAGGGGGAGGTAGGAAAATAGTTACATCAGCAGCGTTACATAAGCGAAGCGCTGATGTAACGCTGCTCAGGCGCCGTCAGGTGCTTATCGTGCGCCATGAGCAACAGTTTTGACGGTGCGATACAAAGCTGGTGAACGCTCCCGTCGGCACGTGCTTAGCACAACGTCAGCGCTATGCTTGTAGTGAAACATATAGTAAAACATATAAAATATCGCAACAGAAACAAGGACAAGAAGTAAACAGGACAGGCGCTAACTTTCAACTAGTTTTATTCTGGAAAATCGAACACATATATACACACGACAGGCAAAGCAGCACCACGTAAAAGTTGATTAATTTTTCACCCGATCAATCATTAGTTGAAAGTTAGCGCCTGTCCTGTTTACTTCTTGTCCTTGTTTCTGTTGCGCTATTTTATATGTTTTACTAAGGTGAACCAACTAGCCCAACAACGTACCTTACAAAACTATATGCTTGTAGTGCTCTGCTACATTTGTGAACAGGCCTTTAGAAACTCGTTGTCAGGAGGCACTACTCGTCACATGCTCGGTGGCTCGAAAGTTCAAAGCTATGTCTTTTCGACCTAAATAACTGTGCTATTGGTAAAAAATAATCAATAAATAAACATAACAATAAATGCAAAAATAAAAAGCTGGAGAGAAAAAAAAACTATCAAGAACCCGCCGGAAGTGTTGTATTCTTGCATATTCAGAGGCCCAGAACTATGAAACAAGTTTCTCCTACCAAAATGTGTACAGGCCAAAAGAAGCACGTCCCAAGAACGTAAAATGAGAAAAAAAAAATTTTTCTGCCGTGCTGAACTTGAACAATTTTAGAAATCTTCTCCCATGAGTTAATTTATTCCTCCCAACGTGAAAAGAGCAATAAATACATTATTTTTTATTCTGCAGATGGTAATGATATGTATTGTCTCTGGTGTTAATTTAAATGCGATACCCCAAACAATGTAGGTGAAAAACAATACCAAGTTTAGGGCATAATTGTCTGTAGGTACATGTTTGGATATGTTTTTGAAACTCGTCTTGAACAACAATAATCATATCTTAAGACGACACTCACCTAGGCTATACATAGATCATTCTTAAAAAGTTTAACATCTCTACCATAAATAGCTTCGGCTATAGCGCGCTTCAAATATGGCACAAACGACAATTGTCAAAAACCCGTTGTCCTTCCTTGATCCTTCGGGAATCTATTTTTCTAAAACCAAGCATGCCAGATGAGTGAAATAAACGGCATTATCTTTCGCAAGGAATGCGGCACCCCACATAAAATTGCAAAAAAAAATATTACGAATGTACCTCACTGCTTGAATTCAAATGAAACCGACCGCCAGTCTTTCAAAGTTCGACGAACTTTGAACTTTTACTCTAAAAGTTTGAAGTTTGTCGAACTTTTGACTTTTCAGGCATCGAGAGTTCGACAATTTTCGAAATTCTTAGCGTAGGAAGTTCGGAAGTTCGAAAAGCTTCAAACTTTTTGTGCAAGAAATTCGAAAGTTCGAAAATCACCAAATTTTTTAGTCAATCAAGTTCGAAAGTTCGACAAGCATCGAATTTTGCAGCGTAATAAGTTCGAAATTTCAAAAAGTGTCGAACTTCCTAGTTTAAAAAGTTCGAAAAGTCGACTTCCGTCGAATTTCTCGATATGGAAAGTTCGAAAATTCGAAGTCTTTCGAACCTTTCGAACCGCTTGATTCGATCATCAAAACTTCGATTCGAAAAAAGTTCGCGGCATCCCTATATATAACTATGTCATAAATGACATACTGCAGTCCCATTTCAACTTCACGTTGTGACGCCTACAAATATGAACATGGGAAGTCTTTCAAAAAGTGGAGTCATTTTTAAGTTATTTATTTAAACAGTATAATCAACCTCAATGACAATCACAAGCATGCTGGAGAGGTTTACCATGGAAGCCTGTGTTGTAAAAGAAACAAAATATGTCAGAAATATCAAAGCAGAGATTTTTTACTTTTTTCTTTTTGTCCCGACTTTTTTTAGCGCAAGAGTCCGATTAAATGGCAAAAAAAACTGTATTAGAAATAAAGCGTAACTCGAATAATCTGAAGGTTAATCGATGAACTGCCCAGTCCTGATATGCATAAGGTTCGGGCGAAGAATTATCACAAAGTCTGGTGAGAGTCGCCTGTCCTCATCAGTAAAAGAGTGTCGCTACGGCCGATGCTGCCCTTGTCGCGGTGCTGGTTGTTTGTTGGAGTCGCAGAGCAAACTATGTTTCAGTAGAAGATTTAGGCAGAAATTTATAATATTAGCCTCTTTACATCCATGGCCCTCTCTCTAGAAAATTAAAGTGGGTAAATTCACACTACCGACAAGCGTGCCTAATAACACGAATGCTGCTGCGTCGCTCGATTAAACTCATTTATTCCACTCGTGGCAGATATATTAGAACAGTGTGTCCTACCAACGAACAATTTGCAGATCATAACTAGAACAGACACTCTCACCTCCCACAACGTAAGTGGAATTGTTCTGACTCCGAAAAACTTCAGCACACTATGGCACATTAGAGGAAAACATTGGCTGTGGTGGAACTTTCTTACTCGTAGAAGCTAGTAATAGCATGGTAATTTCCCATACAGCACTAAGTTCTCTCCTAGCACAATATTTATATTGCTGCAAAAACTAAAAATTGTGCGAAAAAAAAAAAAAAAAGATGTGTAGGACTTGCGATTTTGCAACTCACGGTACCAGTATTATGTAAGTATCCAACTTCTAATCCCTTGTTTTGTTGCATTTTTATGCTAGTGAACCGAAACATCCCTTTTAAAAGAAACAAGTATTTAACATAAATAGTGCAGTTCACCCGGAAAGAGGCATTCGTAGCAGTGATCTATGCTTCCCAACGCTTGCCTAGAGCAGACAATGCATACACACTGGCGATTCTCAAAATAGTATAAAAATTCAAAAGCGCAAACACCAAGGAAAAGAGGAGGGGACAGGACAGAGCGCTTACTCCAACTGGAAGTGTAATGCATTCCCCGAGGAAGACATAGAAGAAGAATTAGGCATGTGAAGGTAAAAAAGAAGAAGAAAAATTATTGTTATAGTTTATAGATGCATTAAAAAAATTTAAACTCAATCTGACTCGTTTTCGTTTTCTTCTTCTCGCGTTTTCTTCTCGCAATTTCGTTTTCCTCTTCCCTTGGGACTTGTCAGACATTCTGCTACATCAAACAATATTGAATTTTGAATTGCGAGAAGAAAACGTGGTCGGCAGTGATACCCTACTTCCACGACATATCCCACAACTTCAAACGGATAGCCTCAAAGTATGAAGTACCAGTGGTACTATCAGCTCCAAACTAAAAAAATTGTGTCCTAAGATTAATTTGCAAAATGAAAATAACAACTGCACCGTCAAGCATACGCACAAGTACGTCAACTGCAACATCAATGTAGTGTACGAAATTCCATTCACATGTGGGAAAGTCTACGTCGGACTTTCGTCGAGAGCATCACCTTTCTCTGAAATCATCACCATCGGGACATCTCGCCATACATGTCCGGGACTGCCACTGAATACCCATATTCCAACAGACTAAGATCCTCAAGCATTACCATAAAAAAAAGATCCCGAGAACTCTATGAAGCGAAAACCATATGGTCTCTCGGGGGAGCTTGCATAAGCGCACCATCAATAGCGCTGTCCGAGAAAGAGATGAGATACCTCTACCTTTTTTCTTAACGCGGGTCGCTTTAATGTTTTCTAACCTGATCTTTGACCCATTGATTTTGTTTATACTTCTCAATTTTTATCACATTCTTTTTTCGCTAGTGTCAAGGGGTCAGATTTAGTTTAAATTTTTTTAATGCATCTATAAACTATAACAATAATTTTTCTTCTTCTTTTTTACCTACAGATGCCTAATTCTTCTTTTATGTCTTCCTCGGGGATTGCATTAAACTTCCAGTTGGAGTAAGCACTCTGTCCTGTCCCCTCTTCTTTTCATTGGTGTTTGCGCTTTTGAATTTTTATACAATGTGTAGCCAACTAGCCCAACAGTTACTTTTAATTCTCAAAATGGTGCGGCACCGAACAGCACCGCACCATTTTCCGCTAAAATTGTTTTCCCACCAATACTATATGCCACAAAATAAACGCAAAAATCTATGCCGTCTGGGACGTGAACGTGGAAAGTCTACGGGGCGGCCATGCTTCTGTCCTCACATCAGCGACAGCGCAACGGTAGTGCCGCCTTTAGGTGGACCTCGAGTCAAATGGACCTCTTCGTAACGAATTGCAGGGGGGAATGTGTACTGCTGGAGTGTTAGCATCAAATATAAGTAATCACTTTCTGTTTTAGAATTAGCTTGCCAGAATCCGAAACAAAACCCGTTATTAATGCAACCTCTTTTTGCGTTCGGAACGTTACACCAAGGACATTAAAGGGGGGGGGGTGCAATGATTTTAAGATTAAAAGAATTTGCATCTCGTCATTTTTACGATGTTTATCGTGTCCCGAAAAATAGAGAAAACATCTTCTTCATTAAAAAATGTTGTGATTCCGCTCCATAATCACAAAATAGAAGTCGAGCTTTTTCCCCTACCTGCAGCCGCAAGTGGCAGCCAAAGGAACTACGGCGAGAAGCTTGCGCTCGGCTCTAAGCTGCAGCATAGCGCCCGCTAATGTTAGCAGACAGGGGGGAGGAAGCGTCCTCCGAGAGAGCATACGGGAACCTACATGGCACCCCAAATTACGTCACTAGGAGTGGGAGTGAGACTGGAGTCACTAGGAGTGGGAGTGGGACTGGGAGTGAGTTGAGGGGGGCAAGAAATGCCAATATTTATTCTTTTTTTTTACACAACTAAGGCATGCAGGCAAAATCGGTTTCCTATTCTTTACTTCAAAACTGTCAGAGGGCAACTTCTACAAATCTTTGACCGAAGTCCGGAAATCGTTGCCGCCCCCCACTTCCGACCCAATGTGTGTGTGTGTTTTCTTTGTTTAGTTTTTTTGCATTTTAATATTTTAATATTCCCGCTATGGCCAAGCACACCAGTGGAAGATGCATTACAAGCACCGTAATATTGCGAAATACATTAAAATAGAAGAATAAAAAGACGGCAGGCCTGGGTGCAAGTAACCGGAGCCACTCACCATTCCGAGCTGCGGTGGTAGTAGTATCCCTCGATGGTGGCCGTCGACTTCTGGAAGCAGATGTAGTAGAAGCCCGCAAAGGACGCCCCATTGATGTCCTTGATCGTGTGGTCCGGCACCAGGAAGTGCTCCTGCAACGGGAACCGCCGGGGTCTCGAGGCCTATTCGCACACTTGCGTCCGCTTGTGACCCCGAGTTTTCGAGATGCGATTTCTTACAACGACAGAGCACGCCGGTGCCGTCTACAAGGTGGCCCCAGACCGCGTAACTTTTGTAACTTTTGGGACAGTTCGATGGGAATGTCGTCGTCTGCTATCCGACGAGGACCGAACTGTCTAAAACAACTAGCTTTTGTATACTGTACGCATTATAATTATTTTTGTCCCCCCCCCCCCCTCTTTAAAGACTAGTCCTGTCGACGGAGACTCTCCTATCTCCCGACTTCCAACTTTCCCTTCGTTTCCGAAAATAAAAGAAAAAAACAACAGTTTGCGAGACCAAACGTCCGTATCGTCCGAGAGGAATGGCCGTCTATAACGCCGTCGAAAGCTCTTCGAGTTGAGAAAGAAAGAATGATGCGCGGAAAAGATGGGAAATGTACGGGACCGCCAAGTGCTCCACATCCACCCGGTAGGTGGCGCCGCGTGTCTGCTCGTTGTAAGAGATCGCAAGAACTCGGTCGTGAGCAAAACACAAGCGTGTGAACCGACCTTTTCTCGAAAAATGCGACGAACTGCAATTACGAGTTACTAGAATTGCGCAAACGTTCGAATAGTTTTTTAAAATAATACGCTATTCCATGTTCGTTTCGAGGTGCACTCCGGTATTCCTTCTTTTCAAAGTATCGATTGTGGCGTGTTAACTTCGTTGGGTGCACTTCTTAAGGACCATTGGTACACTGCTGAGAAGCAAGACGCAAAGAGAAGCGCTCCACAGGTGTTGCTTTTCCACAGTGCACCGGCACACCGTAGGATGTGCACTTTACGGGGCTGCCCCACCGTAATCAACACTTCGAAAAGTGTGAACATTGCAGCGGCGTACTTAGGAGTAAAGCAGTTTCCAAACGGGACGGTGTGCACGCAAGGACAGGGCCCTGCAACCGCAAAGGCTGCCAGAGAGTGGCACCACTCACCTTCCAACGCATGAAGACGTAGTCCGTCGTCCGCAGCTCCATGTAGTTGAAGGTGTCTGCATTGAACGTCTTGGCGTACTGGTAGAAGGACAGGAACTTGCTCTGCCAGAACAAGCATGGACAGAGTCATGCCGTGCATGGATCCCGTCGCCTCTTGCAGTACAGTTGTGCCACATTAAAAAAAAACTGGTGTTTAAATTTAATTTTTTTTTCATTAATTGTATTGAAGTTTTGTGTACTGATGTATTTCTCAGTGGTGATTTAAAAGATGCAATCCGTTTTCAGATCGCTATACTAGATCCTCAGTTATCAATAAATTTGCAATTTTAATTAGATCCGCCTTAAAGGTCGCTAGCGTAAAATTCTTCAAATATATCAGAAAATTTTATAGAACTGCATTCATCCATACATGCCTTGTGCAGAGATGCTATTTTTAGCCTGGTTTAATTATATTACATTGGTAAAAAAAACATTTGCAAACAGGTTGCACAAAACGGGAGGCTATATCTTTTTGAGACTAAGTAATTAAAATAATTGTACGACATATAAGGCAACAAAAATGGCAACACCACACAAAGCATGTCTTGGAATATGCAATTCTAAAAAAATTTCTGATGTATTCCAAAGAATTTAACTCTAAGGAAGACCTAATTAAGATTACAAATTTATCGATAACTCAGGACCAAGTAAAGCTATCTGAAAACTAATTGCATATTTGAAATCACCATAAAAAATACATCAGTATACAAAACATCAGCACGATAAATGAAAAATAAAAAAAAAAAGTTAAAGACCCTCGTCTCCCCTCCAGATGGCCATGTTAATATGGATATTCCACTACATGGATAACATTATTGGGTATGAACTGGGTACTACGTGCATCTTTGTCTCATTAATATGGACAACTCACCCTACGGATAATATGCGGGGGGGGGGGGGGGGGGGGGGGGGGGGGGGGATGGAGGGAGGTTTCCAGGTTAGCCAAGGAAACATGGTCGTATTCATTTATTTAGTTTACCCTCGGGGGCACTACAAAGGGGCGTGGTGAAGAAACTCTATAACAGCAGAAACAATGGGGAAAACACGGTTGCTAACACTTGAATAAAAGAGAGTGCAATCAACAATGGACGCAGGTAATGAGGGTAAGTGATACCCTTCATTACCGTCGAAATACTCTACCGGACACCGTTTGAGCGACGCAGGAGCAATTAGTTACGATAACTCCTGATGATTAGTTACGATAACTCCTGCAGGAGCAGGAGTTATCGTAACTAATCATTTTTGGCCACATAAACACCATGCTTAAAGGGGCCCTACAATGACTTTTTTACTGGTTTTTAATTTGCACTGAACCTGAGCGCACTAAATTTAGTAACTTAGTGAAACTTTTTTTCTCGAATTTTGCTTTATTTTAACAGTTATAGGCAAATTAATATTACAAAAACAAGCAAAAAATAACCTCCTTCATGACGCCCTTGGTTGCTTGAGTGGCCGTGAACTAAAGGAGGGGTAGTGAGCTCAGTGAGCGATCACGGCTGCTGCACTCAGTGTCGACGGCTCGAGAGAGCGCCACTAAAGCATGTTCTGGATAGGCTGTATCAGCTGTATGAAGCGGGCAGCCAGGGCGGCTCGCATTGCATTTGCTGCGCAATTAAACACTAATTCAGCATGACACTTCATTGGCCACAAACAGCAAACACGGGGTACAGATCAGGTCAGAACGGGAGCCACTTTGCAATGCCATGCCGCGAAACGGCCAAACAGCAAGTCAAACCTGCGCCGAAGGCCTTCGGAATGCTTGGAACCGGTCAGATCCTCAAGGCCGTAAGTAACCGCAGCGCCGCCGCGTACATCCGGGACCTTTCCGTGTTGGCGCTATCGACGCCTTATCCCACTACTTCTTCGTAGTATGCGCCGCCTTTTTTACCGCTTGGTGACGAGTGTGTCGACGTGTAATTTCTGCTTTCCGTACTTTATAAACTGCATTTGTTTCTTTTCTGATCTAAAATACTGAACAAAAACTACTTTTATAAATAATTGAAACGGTTAGCGCCACTTATATTCTGTATTTCGATTAAAAAGAAGCTTTTAGTGCCTCTGACCAGTAGTAAGCCCAGGACCAAAGACGTCACATTTTGTGCGCTTTCGGTACCGCGGGTTGCCCTTGTCGGTGGAGGTTTCCGCGTCGTCCGGTTAAAATATGAAACACCGATATATAGTGACTCTCTCCGTGCCCGCTGGCTTGCCCCAACCCCAAGAGACGTGGAAACCGCAAAAAAGGTAGATGCTTAAATATGATTGCAGGGCCCCTTTAAGATGATAAAAGGACCTTCACTGAATTCATCTGCAACTGTGCACACACGACGCGCAATTCCACGCCCATTTCACGGCTGCTGAGCGTTATGTTTTTCCATTTCGATTCGTCTCGACGCCGAGACTTTCCGCTGCCCGAACCTCCGCGCAACGAATCGGGACTTTGACCTCGCTAAAGTTTTCTTAGGTTCAAACGAGTACAAAGGGCTCTGGTTTATTACAATGCCCCTTATGCACTTCATGCAGGAAGTGAAATTCGGAGCCCCATTGAAAGCTGCGAAGGGGCCTCACCCAGTGCTTCTTGTCCACCTCTTCGTCGGCGTCCCACTTGCGCGTGAGGAACGGGTACTTGCCACTGATGATCTCCCCGTCAAAGAAGGTGGTCAGGGTGGGGTACTCCTCCGTCAGCCCCTTGATCTTCAGGTAGCCGCACAGGTACGAGTTGGCCTCATCCACGTGCTGGGAAGAGATCGGGAAGTCAGACCAAATTGGAACCAAAAATAAAGAAGGGTCCTTTAACAGGGTGAGCGCCAAAAGTCTATCTCCAAATTCCCTGACTTTTCCAGATATTCTTCAACTATTTGATCTAAATTTCCCGACCAACCCCTAAGGAAACAGGGCGTGTCTGAAATGCACATTTTATGAGTACACAATGATATATCGACAGCCAACAGGGCGGCAGCGAAGCACCAGATCCTATTACCCTGCCAGTCTATTCTTCGATATTTTTTCCCAAGTAAATTAACCTCCTAGCAAATACAGTGGAATCTCGTTATTTTGGATTTGAGGGGACCAAAACTTTGTTTGAATAAAGCAAAGTTTGAATTACCTGGAGCTTCCTCCATAGAAACAGGATCGGTATGTTAGTTTGAATTATCTGCGAGTTTGAATTAAGAGGGTTTGAATTAAAGAGATTCCACTGTATATTGGTGTGAGCATAAACTTAGAAGTTTGTTTTGGCGCAAGTGTTTCGAGAGGAGGCGATTTCGGTTCTACCAAGACCCTCGCTTCTAGGCGAAGGTTTGCGTTGGCACGCTGTGCCACACCAGTTGCTTGGAGAAAGGAAAGCTCAATTTTCCCAACCAATTTTGATTGCGCTGGGAATTACCCCGACTTTTCCGGACTTGCCAAATTTCCTGACAATTCTCAGTTTTCCAGGGTGGTAGACACCCCACGTAACCATCTGAAATCGAACCCAAACATTATTGTTTTTTTCAATGCGGCATCGCTTCTAGGGCCACCAAACCGGGTAACTACTTGCATCCGTCCGAAAGCGACTCAGCATTCAGAACGACCGAAAAAATGTGAACTGGTGCGTACTTATACATATCAAATTCACCCACCAAGTTAAGTTGGAAACTTGAATCGGCGGATAGGACCAGCAATATGCCCTATAGGAAAATCCTACGGGACCTCAATCCCACACTGCACAGTGCGGCGCGAGGAATTGCATGGGGCTGTTCTGACGTGTGCTCGGGCTGGCTAGTATGCTCCAAACATGCTGGAAGTGGCTCAATTCCTTCCCTTACCACTACGAGTTCGGAGCACAAAGAAAATGGAGTGAACACATCACAAATCTGACGCGTACCCTGCTTTGTTACTGTCCTGCTTTCTTTGCGTTCTGAAATCGTAATTTGCTAAACCAACATGAACCGTTCCTTCTATTCACGAATACCCTTGGTGTCGAGAAGACGGTGCTGCCTATTTCCGGATTCCTTGGGAACACAGCTGAATGAGCGAAAAACCGAGGAGCACTCGAGAGCTTTCGCACACACTTCATTTAGAGCATGAAAACCTTCCTCTGTGACGAGAAAACATAGGTCAGCTGCCAAATTGTAATTCCTACATCCTGAAGTGCCAACCAGCGTAGCCCAAAAGCAGGCCGGTTGTTTTTGTTCCTCACAACGTATGAGCAGTTTTCAGCTGCACCCTTAATTTGTAACAATTCAAAGATTCAAATTTGATTTTTATTATTTTTTGAACCGGTATAAACCTCGTTTTACTTGGGAGCTGAGCCTTTCTCCTTAAACCAAAGTGAAAAACATATAGGTCAACACCTTGTAAGAGGTGTGCCGGACGACCTTCAAGACAGCTGCCACCTGGTTGCACAGTGTCGGCTTCCAACTTGTGCAACAACCCCTTCGTGTATCTTTTGACCCGGTTTTCCTCTAACCTTGACCTTTTAACCCCGGTTTTTGTGCAACGTCCTACGTTGTCTGAATGGGGACAGGACAAAATTGGCGCCCTTGAGCAAAGATGCTGGGCATCCTCTTTTTGAGCGATCTTTCACCCGGGGTTTGTCCAGGGCTCTAACCCTGAGAGGAGGAGGGGTGGAGTGTGCATGTATACCCTCAGCCTCCTCTATAAATTCTGTCAATAACACATAGGAGAAGCGCAGATGCTACCACTGGCCTGCCGGAAAAGATTTTGCGCAACTTTGGAGGCGAAGCGGGTCGTTGGCAGAGTCAGATTTGCCGCCGATTCGGGCCAAAGCCAAAGCACGAGCCGTGCAATTATCGAATATCTGGGTGCATGTAAGTCGGGGCACTACCACCTAGATACTGGTAAGGCCTTCTTACTTTCCCTCATGATGCCACACTAAGGGTTAAATAATGGTTGGCACAGCCGCCGATTCACTCCTTCTCCCAGACTTATCATATTCTAGCTAACGCCGGCGTGGCCAACGGCCAGCGATGTTCAGACGCACAAAGTTACGTTTAGTACTGTGGAGAAGGAACAGTGCAAAGGCCTTGTATCCAGGCGAAGTAGGTGCAAGCGTGGCATGTAAACATCCCAAACAACCAACTCGCATCTTTTAGTGGCACACAAATTGCCGCAGCAACTAATGTTACCTGGTTGGGTTCCGATACTCGCATTCTTTTTGTGGTTTGGCCTTTTCTGCCACATTCATTGATTGCCTAGCCAGCTCCCAGTAACTGACCTGGCCTGAAGCCGTCTTAATAAGGCAGACGTCATTTTGCTGCCCGTATGTCGAGTGACACTCTTAATAATAATTAGACTGTGTAGAAGCTCTGCTGACTGGAAGCAGTATGTCAAGCTCATCGTGTGTACTAGCCTCCTGAGTACAACCCTGGTTTCACGAAACTGATGCATGTCAGAATGCATCGTGAACGCTTCTCGATAGCCAGGCGTCTGTCCGCTGCGTTCCATCGCCTACCTGGCCCAGCGCAAGCTGTCTGCGAGTTGCCCGGGCCAGTGGCGCGCCAGCGAAGAACGCGGCCCGACCAAGAGCGCGGATGTCCTTGCGCTGTCGTCGCAGGCTGCGACCGCGGCTCGGCAGAGGAGCGGGCACCGTTGCCAACGGCGTTTGTGCGTATTTCAGCCGCCGAGCAAAAAAACAAACAAGCGGAGGCACGTGAACGCCGAAAAGAGAGCGCGCTGCGCAGGGGACGATCTTGTGCAAGGCCGCTTGCCTAATGTCCTCCTGTGCCCGACCGCTCGACGGGGACCGGCACCGCGCTGTCACCGCGTGCGCGTCGTTCAGCGTGGCCGGGGATCGCTCACCTGAAGCACCACCTCGACGTCGTAGCAGTTGCCCTTGCTCTTCTGGTGGCCGTGGAAGCGGGACCCGTTGTACAACAGCGATCGCGTGACTCCGGGCTGCTGGGCATTCGCCGGCGGCGGTGGCACCAGGTCCGTCGACGTCCTCACGGGCATGGCTCTGGCGTTCAGCTTGAAAACTTCGAGAAAAAAAAAAAGGGTAGGATGCCGCACCGACGTGCGATCGCGCGTTAGCAATCCGCCATGTTGCGCCGGAAGCGAACGCCGCCTGCCGCGCTCGCCTCCTGACGTTGCTGAGACGCTGAGGTTGAGGAGGCTGCAGTGGCTGCAGTGCTGAAGCACTCGGGGTGAACAAAGGCGTCTACGACTGGTGTGCGTTCGGCGTCTATTTTGGTCTCCCCGAGTTTTGACTGGTGACGTCATGATTGTGTAATACTGCTGTTCGGGGCAATCCTGGCGGAGAGCAGCGAAAATTTGGGCACGTTCTTGATTAATAGATGAATAAACAAATAATGGAAACAAGCACGACGTACACCCAACGCCTAAGCTGGTTAAGAGGCTGTAGATTTTCGACAGTTTTGTTTGTTAACCATATTCCATAAATCCAGAATCCACTTTACTTTTTAATCTAAATCCGAACCAATCCAAACGCGACCGGTCACGAAATTGCTCCGTTTTTCTGATCCTTCGTCACCTTCGCCCCGTTCGTGGATTGTGGTTCTGTCCACAATGCACCGTCCGAAGTGTGCATAAGCGCAAACGTAGTCCGCTTCGAACTTACAGTGCCCAAACTCCTAGGACCGATCTGTGCGCGCAAACGGGACATGATGCTGGGGTTCACTGTGCTCACGGGACGTGCACTCTGTGCCTCTCGCACATCGCTCTCCTGCGTGGTGTCCAGGCGCTTCTACCCAGGTAACCTCGCAGGGCACCAAAGGCCCCAAGCTTACAACCTCCTGACCGTCGGTTGCCTCGCATCTTGTCTTTGCAGCCAAGCGAAAGCGCTTCTTCAAAAACGTGGGAATCGTCAAGTCGGAAGGTATACGCTCAATTCTCGTCCGATATGAATATATAGGGCGACTAAAATAACCAGGCTCAATATAAAATGGGTCGTAAAAATCGGCGCCTGCACGAAGCAATCTACACTTTTCGTTTCGTCAGAGGTGTATGTATTTCACTCGTCGGTGTTATCTTGTAAAATTACAAAACGTAGCTTCCTTTCTGTAAAAATTGGGGCCAAAATACTTTCCAGGGTCAGCGGCGGACGGCGACGCAGAAGACCGAGTTGAGCGTCGGAAGGTGTAGCCGACCAGCGAATCAAAGCAGACAACACGCAGATGAAATCCGTTGGCAGCAAAAGCGCCATCGTTACGCAACCACCTTTTTTTTTTTTTTTTATTTAACTTTTGTTGCATTTTAGAAAGATTATGTTCATTTTAGTACACCACGATCGTCGTGTGCAGTCTCGATTAGAGTTTCTGTCTAGGCTCCCTACGGGAGCCAAAGTTGCGAGTTCATCCCCGTAGCGCCGTCTTTCCTGCACACCATATTGAGCTTGCTCCTCACAAGACTGAATTGGGCGAATAGCGGCGCCGCGTGTTCGAGGCACACGGCGCACTCAAAAGCAAGGGAACGTACGCCGGGGCACGTGTAATGTCTACTTTCCTGCACGGCATTTGATCCTGCTCCTCACATGATCGGATCTCGGCAAATAGCGGCGCAGCGGCACATGGAAAATAGACGCGCATCTCTCGCTCCCACAGGGGCCTATGCAGGAACTCTAGTCTCGATAAGGATATAGCACCATTTATCAATACGTGCGCCAAACGCACCCTGCCACGCGACTCAGTTGCCTTCGTCAACGCCCGCCGTTGTTCCTGGCAAGATTTTTGGCCCAGTTTTTTACAGAAAGGGAGGTACGCTTTGTAATTTTACATGGAAAAACCGACCTGTGAAATACGCCTTTGATGAAAATTTACAATGCTACGTGCAGGTGTTGATTTTTGCAGCCATTTTAGATCGAGCCTAGTTATTTCAGTCACCCTATATATCTTTGTACTTCTCCTTTGTCCGAGTATTTCAGTGAAATATAGCGTCGACATTCCGATGCTGTGTAAAAAAGTGGCATGTTGGAACAACCAGGCACTGCTGAGTGTCGCTACGACAACCGAGCCTTAACAAATGGTTGGTGCACAAAGAGTTCTCGTGGCTATTTATTTTCCATTCATATATTATAGGGTTTGTAAAAATATTCAAGTAAATGGAATAATTGTTACGAAGGCACCGAGAGGCAATCCCAGTCAGTACAGCTCATTCGTCTGCATATTTTTGTTTGTCTCGTCTTTGGAATAAGATTATGAAAATGATCCGGGTTTTTGTGAAAACACAGAGTAAGTTCATACACTACTCCCTTCTCCACATTCAGAGACGCTTTTCGGTGGGCTTGCTGTCTGTACCACTTTTTCTGGGTCGGTGGCCGTCATTCCAGGAGTTCCTTTTCCTAAAATCATGCCTACAAGTTTTTTCACTATTTAAAGACATTGTCTGAGCTGCTTTCTTTTGCTTTTGTTAATTTTTTAATTTGTGCATAAACCCTTTTAAAGGAAGTTGCTGGACTCTCTAGTGCCAGTATTGAACCGTGGTTCGATACTGGCACTAGACAACAACAACAAATTATTTTACAGTACATCTCTACTACCAGCTCTACAAAGCAGCTAAATCCATTGCTCCTCTTCGTCAAATCTTGCTTTGCCAGACACAAACTGCTCAAAAATTGGAATGTCGGAATCTCCAGCATTGAGCGAGTTCATTAATTTTGGAGCGTTTCAAACAAAAAATCAGGTGTTTAATTTTGAAGCTCAGCAATTTTTACACAAAAGGGGAGGTGCTGATAAATTATAAAATTTTGCTCAGTTAAAAGTACCCTGAAAACGTCAAACGGTTACGGCGAAAGTGGTTGAACAGTTTTGTCTGAAACAAAGGAAACACAGTTTAAAGGGGTCATGCGACGGTTTTAGAACTTTTTTGGCAAGCGTGGGTTTCGAATCTCGAGGTCTTACTTCGTGACTCCTGCACATTCCTTTCTTCCTGTGGTGTTGTGTTTTAGTTTGAACACTGACTTTTATGTGTGGCCTTGGCAGCAGCCATGCTGAAGCTTTGCTTTTAAATTAACCTTACCAACATGTTTAGCTTTTAATAATTCTAGCCTTCTTTGACCTCAAGATAAATGGAAGAGCATGCGTTTGGGACTACAGTAAAACCGAGTCATTGCAACCGTGGCCCGACTTCTTGCCGGTGGAACATTGAGCGGTCATGGTCACCGACAGGGTAAGAACGGCGGGGAGGCCTTCGAGTTGTTCCGTCCCCAGCGTGAGCTTGGTACCACCAATGACGCTTTGATGTCTCATGAGCATCAAGCATGCACATGCACCTAAGGTACGGCGGAAGGCAATGTGCGCCGGTCAGAGGCTGGGCTTCCGAAAACTAGCTCGTCTTTATCATTTCTAGGGCCAAGAACTGGCTAGGCGGCCGCTCGCAGAAGACATTGGGGAAGGTTCTTGCTCAGCATTTTTGGAACTGCTGAATCCCGCTGAACGGCGTGTTCCTACCATGCAGGAAAGTTTGAGGTCTGCCTAGACCAAAGGAAGCTGAAGACCCCTCTCGGAAACCATTTCACAGTTCCCAACGAGGCTCTCGCCGTGGCCGTGGCCACGGAATGGGACGCGCAGCTCAAGGAGATCAACCAGCACGAGATGCACCTGGTGAGGCATGCCCTACCCCCTCTCCTTTGCCAAAATGAACCGTGGGGCTAGTTGGGCAAATGTAGCCTGACCTTCTTTGTCTTTTTGTGCGCATTAAAACGTCTGTGCTCATTCGCTTCATTTATTCCACTTGTCCCTGTCATTTGGCGTGCTTTGTGTTCTTGCCCTCGCTTTTAGCCTAGGGACCTCCCAGTTAATGCGACATATGTCCACTTGCTGGGCATTGCTTCTGGGAACGAGGTCACGGTAGTGAACTTGCTTGGAAATTTATGAGCGACGTTATTCCAAACAAGTTGGTTCACTGACAAGTGCCACACATTAGAAGATGTTGTGTGTAGTTTACGAGCTTGCGTGAACTTATCTGGCGAGGCTAGGTGGCGTCACGACTGTTGCACAGTTTTGCCAGATTAATTTACAGAGTGTGCTGGTTACAACCCTATTCGAGGTACAAATCTAAAAAACATAAAATTTTATTAACTTTGTGGGTGCTTAGATGACAGGTCATAAGTCTGCCTTTGAGGGTGCCAGCTTGCATATACTGGACCTGAGATTTTTAATTGATGCCAGAAACATTACTGGTTGTGGGCCTGCTTGTCAGTACTGCTTCAATTTCTGAGTGGGCACAACTGACTAAGCAGATATCAAAGCACATGGGAACCTTGGCACACTCACCTGAGGCAGAAAACTAATGAGAATGGTATATCTGATGATAGCCATATGCAACAGTAATGACACGGAACACTGAACACTGTGCACATGAGAGCACAAAAGAATTTTAACATAGTTACACATACATAAAGCGGAGGAGTAGTAATGCTAATGATGACAATAAACATTAAATAATATATTAAGAGAACCCACATTTGAATGCAGCTTTCTGTAAGTTTTTTCTAAAATCGTCGTTTGCGCCTTGGTGCACTTATTTTTGCCTAGGGAGCAGCGGGCCAAATCTGCCTTTGCAAATTCGGCCTGTGGGCTTGGGCTTCAAGAACCCTCGAATAGAGTATGCATCTGGGCATTCACTAAGATGTTTGACCCAAAGCACCTGACCCAGAAAAAGAAAAAATACTGTTACCTGCTTTCCCAGCTCCGCTAACCAAGTAGAGCTGGCATGGCAAGGTACCCCGCGCGTGGCAAAATAAACGACTTACTGCGCCACGCGCGCATGGCGTCACTTACGAAGGGCGTTTTGTGCAGACGACCCTGTGCAACACCGTGCTGGACAACCCGTCCCACAAGACCGAGGAGAGCGTGGCGGCCGAGATTCTGGAATTCCTCGAGTCGGACACGCTGTGGTAAGCGAGACTTCGGTGGCCGGAAGGGATCTTCGACCGGCGCGTTTGGCGACCCACGCCGCTTCTGCATCGACGTTGTCAGATGCCCCTATTCCGGCGGTCAGTCGTAAAATTCGGGGAAAAAAGGAGGAGGGAATGTTAGCGTCGCTGTTGTCACAGCGTCCCAACTTCAGATACTGCCGTAGCTTCGATACACTGTCCGACCAGAAAGCGAACTATGGCAAAAAACGGGCGTCTTCTCCCTCGCTGCTGGAAACACGGCAGGCAACGGCCCGATGCTGCTCTGACGTCTTGGGACAGAGATCGAGGTACCGCAAGCGGAGACGCAGTAAACGCACCGGTCGGAGACGTGTTCCGGCCACTGTAGCAACGTTGTCACGGACAATCTGTCTGGAGCGTTGACCCCAATATGTTTCAGCTACCGCATGCAAGAGCCGGAAGAATTGGCGGCGCTCCAGGCAAGTAGCTGGGATCCCCTGCTCCGGTGGTTTGAAGAGAGGTAGGCAACTTTGACTGGTTTTGAGATTTGCCTGTAGCAGTCATCTTGTCGCTTAGACTTATTGATGCCAGCTACCTGAATTTTTATTCGAAATTGCGGAAAACGCCTTCCATTCTCCAGAAATATGAAAACTGTCGGTGAGAAAGCGAAACGACATCACCCGAGCTTCCCGACGCTTTATCTAAAGCCAGGAAAGTCAAATTTTTTTCATCGTAGCTATTGCCCGGTTGCACCCACTCTGCACCAGGAAACAACACGGCGGCACCAACGAGACACTCGGGGAATGGAAGGTTGCTACTCTCGGGCGTAGCGTATCTAGGAACCCTAGAACAGGGTCCCAAACACGCTTTGACCCCCTAGGAACACCTAGGACATGGCCTGCAAGCATTTCGCGACTGCAAGCTCCGGTCGGCCATGTCTCGAGCGCGCATGCACCGTAAATCCCGTGAGTGCCTCGTGTCGTCAATCTCTTAATTTTCGAGCACTGTTTTACCTCCGTCACTGTTTCTCGCGTTAATCACCTGTTGAGAATCCTGCTACTAAGCACAAGTGCGAGCTTCACTTAGGAGCATCTTCTCACAATAGTAAGCTGGGTCTTCCAGCTTTAACATCTGCATGTCTGAAAATCAAACGATGCATAAGCAGCAAACAAATACCACGGGAGTGTGAGTCTTATATGAATATCTTTTATCAAAATTCCACAAAAATATAAAAACTGGTGTATAAAGATTTTTTTTTTTTTTTTTAGGGGAAAGTTGAGTGTCAGAGAAGCAGACTGTACACTCTCATTTTATCGAAAATTGCCGCCGTATCCTTGGAGCAGCGCCCTTTAAAATATTGTTATCACACCAGGTGGGAGTCCAAGGTAGTCGTATAAACTATTCAAAGCTGAAGATAATCCCTGGCAAAACTGTGAGTTTCTAAGAAGCAGATAGCCCGAGGTCCCTTCTTTACAACATTTCTGGCAGTGTGAAGCCCCAATGTTGTTTTTCTTCGCCTCAAAAAATTTTCATCCTTCCTGCTGGCCCACAACCATTTTGGAGTTGGATTAGGACATCTGGCCCCATGACGGAACGAGTTTAATATCCCCGCTTTAGAACTGTCTAGGGTCGCCAGTGTCACGCTCAAAGCCCAGTTTGTTGTGAAAGTGGGAACGCCCCAATGACCTCTTTCTCTTTCCCCGCAGGCACGGCGTGAAGCTGGACACGTGGAGCGACCTGGCCTCGTCGAGTCTCCCGGAGGAGACGTCCAGCGCCTTCCTCAGGCACCTGCTCTCCTACTCCCTCTGGGGACTCACCGGTCAGTGCATGGGGCTGTCTTCCCTGCCTCTCGATTTGGGAATGAGGGAAGGCTGTTCGTTAAGAGGCCATGCAACAAGTTTTGTACTTTCAGTAACTACTACCGAAGAATTATTCCTTGACTGTTGCAACCTGTGAGACAAGCATCAGTTTTGTGTCTTTACATAATGGCAGTCACAGAAAAGAATATGAGAAAAACGAGCAAGGTTTACTTCCTCAACTCGCACCCAAAACGAGCGACCGTGTGATCTGGAGCCGATTATATGCCACCAGTGTCTGTCATACTCATGCAATCAGGTTGGCGAAGCACAGGACACGCACTAAGTTCCACACATTGTTCCCATCGTCGAAGTGATCGGGCTTGAGCGACTACCGAAATGCGTGTAGAGGCATTAATTGTCACGAGCTCCAAATGAGCGTTTACGCAGCGCTCACTATATTCGCAATTCCAACACCCTAAAGGTGGCGGGGTGGTAGTTCCTAGATGGCGGAAAAGACAGGGATAGATTCTCCAGGATTTCCCGTGCGCCCGCCCGTTGACACTGGTCAGCGCGCTAAAAATGATTTGTCTACAAATGCGAAGCGGTTGAGGGATCATACTACAGGTGACGGAGATGGTGATGCACGTTACCAAAACAAGCATGCTGATATTTAAAAGTTGCAGAAACCTCACCTTCTGAAGCTTTGTGGTGGGTGAACGCGTTTTAGGTGGGGGCCACGTCACTGTTTGTGGCAGAATATTTTTGAGGGTGATGAAGATATTGTGTTTGTGCTTTGCCTGGCCATTAGTGCTCTAAAAAGTGAGCCGCGCACGGTGACCGTCAAGCTTCGGAAGAACAGCGTTCACAGTATTGGCTTCTTTGTGTCACAGTCTCGCAACTCGCTGCTCACCGTCTCGGTTTTAGTGCATTGCAACACGTGATCAAACTGCTAATGGTTATTAATAGGAAGTTTGTTACTGCAGGCTAATGTGCAGTGCAGCATTACAACTGGAAGCTCGCGCTGTGCCTTTGAAGCAACATTTTCAGCGCACGCCAGGAGCGTTGCCGTGTTCACGGTAGCTTGCGGTAACACTCTGCTAAAACTGCCTACCGTAGAATACCGCGCATCCGCCCATTCCACATTAAGCGCCCATATCCAAATTTCTAAGATATGAAAAAATGTGCACAGTACATTTATATGTAAAATTGATGATCGGACAAGCGCCCATCCCCCATTTTTTTGCGATTATCTCTATATTTTGGGTGGGCGCTTGCCCGGTATTTTACGGTGTTACCATAATCGGCGTGTTTAAGGGTTTTATTTATTGCTTTATCGAAAATAAATATTTGAATATACCATAGATTTTTCGTACCGTGTTATTTGCAACATTGCGGCACCTCTCGCAATAACTGCCCGCTCTAAGTTCTCGTCACGAACGGCTGGCTAACACAGACGCGCTTAAAATGCTTTGGGCATTTCTTTATTTGCTTTGTAATTACCTGAAAGCAAGTATGGGTATTCTGTCTTTTTAAAGTGTTTGGAATAAATGGTAATGTTCCTTGTAATGGCCTTAAAACGCGAACCCCTTCCCGATGTGTATTGCTCGACATACCATTGCGCGATGAGTTTTCTCCTACTTGTGGCAAAGAATAGACTTCATAGACCGTATGCTAAAGCTTTATATTACTAGTGGGAGTGTTTGCTGTCACGTTGAGCACAGATTGAGCTGGTGGCCATGCACAAGACCAGAAATCCGCAGTGTATGCAATACAGGAAAAGTCTCTAGATTAGAGATCCCAGTCCTTCGTGCAGCGCTGTTGCAAGGGGGAGCACAAAAATTTCTATTTTAACGCGCTCACTTTTTTCATTATAACGGCTTCACGCATCAAGGCCGACAGTCCCTGCTACCGTCTCTGCACTACCGCCGCTGCCGCTGCCGTCCCTGCTCCTCTAGTTCTCAGTTCGTCCGCGGGAGGGAGGGCAGCGGGCTGGAGTTACAGATAAGCTGTGTTCACTGTATGTCACCACGGGAATCGCAAAGCTCGATGAAATCCTGGGGATGGCGTTGTTGACAGTGCCAACAATGCAATTCATACAACTTTATCATCAAGTTTTGCGAAAGCTAGACTGAAACCGTGCAACATCACTGTAGAGCAACGTGTAATAGATTGTGCTACTACTGCTTTTGCCACTATTGACCAACACATTGTTTACAAACAAGCCCGCGTTTGCCCACCAGGCGAGGGCACTGCGCGCGCGCAGAAACCAGATTTGGCCTAGGTGAATCAGCTGCGCATGCCCAGTGCCGACAGCAGAGCCACCGCAGCGGCGTGACGTCAGAGAGTTGAGTTGGTGTATAGCGCAAAAAAAAGCAAACTTTGTCAGAAAGAGGGGTGAATAGTGCAGGCTGGCTGGTGAATGGTCATACTTATAAGACACCGAGACAAGGGAAAAAAACAAAGAGAAGGAAAAAAAGGACACCACAATGACTTCTTGTTCTATCGAAAATTGCCAGCACATCGCCAGGACAGAGCCCTTTTGAATTTTGTTATCACATCAACTATGGGTTCAAAGTAGTCATATAAACATTTCAAAGCTAAATAAATTATCAGCTAAACTTAGAGTTTACAAGAAGCAGACAGCCTGACATCCCTTCCCTTGAAAATCTGGCATGAAAACATTTTCTTCCTTCTCTCGCCCTTCCCTTTGTCATTGTGTTGTCACTTTATCTTTTTTCTTCTTCTTTTCTCAGGGTTTTATGGGTGTGCAAATGTTTTGCCTATCAGAATTCATGGGGCGGTATCGGTCAAGGTTGGAGTGTCTTATTTTGTGTCATCTTTCCAAGGGCACCGTGACATCTGGCACGCATTTCTACTTACCTCTGCTTGGCATTTCAGTGAGAACCTAGGTTCGGGTGCGGTGCACAGAATAAGTCTTCGACCGGTGTATTTAGCATTCTTACTGCCCATGCATCAATAGTAGTCCCATAGTGGCAACAAATGACGTCAGAGTAACCGGCATATCATGGTGTCGGAAGCCGCGCTCCAGGCAGTTGGTCGTAGAGGCACCGTTGAAACGTATGAGAAATGCTACAGTCGCCATCATGGCACCCCACCCTGTGACTGTCCACCATGAACTGTTGGGCCAGAGGGCGGCCTACAGCGGAACACTGCCACATCCAATTTTACTGCCGTGACACCGCCAGAGTTACGGCGAGCAGCGGCGTGACAAAGTGTTACGTCACAAGTTGAAATCGGGGTGCCGTAACTTAAGGCCATCTCCCAACCGGCTGACTGCCCCACCGTACTTCCGCAGGGCTCCTGTACGCGACGGAGAGCCTCAAGTCTGCCGTGCTGTGCATGGCGGCCGTGAGTCGCGTCGTCGACGTGGACCAGGCCGTGTCTCTGTCGAGGCTCGAGACTGAGTTCCAGGTGGGTCCTGTGGTCGCCCAGCCGATATAGCAACTCAGTGGTGAAGTTTGCTTTGACAGGCAGCACCATCTACGGGGAATTTTGCAATTCTAATGCCGTCCGTAGCCCGAATCATTGCACTCTAGCTCGAAGTCCGAGTAGACATCTGGTCTGCCTGTTCTAACAAACAGAACTTTTTTTAGACTTAGGCTAGGTGACGCAAGCTACAACCCGTTACAAAGGGTATAGCTAGTAGCATCCATACAAAACGCAGAGTGTTCTACATGTTCCAAGAAACCTTTTGCAAGGCATGTATTTGCTGTCCGCAATGCCGAAAGGAATGTCAGGAATGGGTTGCACAGAAGCTGCTGCAGCAGACGATGGAGGTAACACGGGCACGTAAGTGAAGACAGTGAAGCAACTGTGCTCATTTTTTTCCCTTCGCTGTCATGGGGCAAGGAGGAGGATGCAGGGCGTGCCCACAATAGACCGATCTCACCAAGCGTTCGGCGCATGCGTAACGCCGCCATAACTTTAGTTCACTGGAGACAAACAGCAGTGCAAGGGAGGGCTCCTGCCGTCTTGTGCTTTTCAAGCGCAGAGCTCCAGCGAGTTTGTCGCACGTGCAAAAAGACTAAAGTTGCCTCGAGGCATTGCGGCAGCGGTGGCATTGTCAAACTGGCTGGTGAGATTGGTCTATTGATTCCACGCTTTGCCGTGTTGTTTTGTGAGTTTTGCAAAATGACTTATCACAGCACAGGTCGTGCATTTGGGAAACTCTCCGAGCCTCATTGGCTAACCTGTTTGGGAATGCCGACTCTCATGTGGTTGGCGAACAAGCGTACTGGACCATGCCTGTCCATAGACTATATGTTCAAAACAAAACAAAAAGAAATGCATAAATGCTAGGAACAATCAATGAGCGAGGTTTCGCTCCCGTTCGTCGAACATTCAATAAATGCGAGGCCAGCTATGTCTATTGATAACACATGGGCTAACTATAACAGCAGTAAAACTGTCCTGTTTCACATGGTTCACAAACAGCTAGGCCTTTGTGAATGTGGTACACAAAGAGCTAAGTTGTCATGACCGTGGCGTCAGCCATGAAAACACCGTATCTTTGCAACCTCGCACTTGCCCGAGCCCTAGGTTGACCCCCTGGTGCGTCGTCTCTTATAACCGACGAGCGAGGAGGTTTCTGTGAGCCACCTCCAGAGGGCGCCGATGCGTTATCCATTGGCTAGAAGAGCAAACGGAGGTCAAGAGCCGACTTCGGCTCTCGCGAATTGCCCCACGAGTATCAAGCCAGGGAGACGAGCACCCTCGTGAGGTGACGGGGTGCTATATCTCCCACCTCGGGCAGAGAAGCTGGCTGTCTGCATTTTTCTTACATTATTGTTCTGGTCTCTACGTCGCCCAGAGAGCGTTATTGTAAGGGGTTACGTAAATTAAATACAGATTATGCAAAAAAATATAAACTATATGCACTTAAAAAAATAAGAAGAAAAGCTTTATAACAACATCTACCATGCACCTTGTATGGCTGAGAAGAATATGAGAAGGGAAAAATATTCACTAACCAATCCCTGAACCTGAAGAGGCCCTACGTTGCGGAAACGAGTTGGTCCCGAAACGTAGGGCCCCTTCACATTTAGGGATTGGTTGGTGAATACTTTTCTCTTCTCATAATTTTATCCCAATGATAGAGTCTTGTGTCAAACATGTTTACTGAAAGAAAAAAAAAGAAGAATGAATTGACAATTTCAGAATGAAGGCAGTTCCAGTGGTGAATGTTGAAAGGAAAAAAAAGGGAGCAGAAGCATTGATATTGTATAAAATTCAATGCATAGCTGCGGGAAAGAAGGGAAAAGAAGGAACGCGGACCGCTCGATTGAACATGCCATAGCTACACGGGTTGTCTCACGCAGAACGTGGTGTGTTGCAGACGAGTCGCTGGGGCAGCGTGGAGTGGGCCCATGACCTCGACCGGGAGCAACTGAGAAGCCGGGTCGCAGCCGCGCTGCTCTTTGTCCAGCTGACGGGGGAGTCGTCGAGCATCGTCCACAAGGCCACGGCTGCAAAGGCTTGACTGCTGCGTCGACCGTGTCGGACTGTGCTCACCGTAGCCGCTTTGGATAGTGAAGAACAAGTTCAAGGTTCACCCCAACGTCTATTGTGGAACACTCCGATCTGGCGCAGAGCATGCACCGATCCCGCGCGCACGTTTAGTTCGGCGTCATTGGCGACGAGACGCTTCGGCGCTGCTCACTTATGGCTAGTTCGCGAAACCTGGGACTGCTTACGACAGATTGCCTGAACGCTTCTTGGAAAGTATTACGGCGAGACAGACAATGGTGCCATCCGTCGATGGCCGTGAAATGCGCAACATTTATGTGTATGCTTTTTTTTGTGTACATCATTCTTTCTTTTTGACTTAAAAATCTTTTGACGAGGTGTAGATAGTACATACATTTGATCTATCAAATAGTACTGCAAAACTTTCACTGTAGTGAAACGCAGTTCTAGTGTTGCCTGGTAGATGGCGCAAGCGTGCAAGTCCGTTCTCTCGCCGTAAAAGGTTGCAAGAACTCGGTCGTAAGCAAATGCCTGCGAGTGAATGTCCCCTTTGTGGTTCGTATCGGCGACGTTGCAATCTGGGTTATTGGTCGCAAACGACAAGTTGGACGGCGTGTGCAGAAAGCATGGCCTTGGAATAATCGTGTCCTCGAACCAAGACCGTCAAATTGGACGGTCCGACGTTGTTCTTCTTTCAGGTGATGGATGCGGAATTAATATCGGTAGTTACGTCATAGTGTGCATTTGGACAATCATGGAAGGCTGACCGTAGTGACGCTTCCTGATTGTGCATGTCCCCAACGGCAGTTGAAGGAGTGCTGGGCATGCCTTACGATGTCCACACTTTGCGATTCGTTTGTCAACGTTATTACCGGCGAATACCGCAGTCTCATTGGCTGCAGAACCATAATGAGACGACTTACCACATCCTGCACTTATTAAGCTGACAGCGACTCTAGAGACCTTGCTATTTGGCGCCACTTATGATGTAGCGATCCTGATACAGTGGAATCTCGTTAATTTGAACCCGAGGGGTACCAAAACTTTGTTTGAATAATGCAAAGTTTGAATTACCGGGAGTTTCCTTCCTAGAAACACATAGGAGGGGACCTGCATGTTAGTTTGAATTATTCGCAAGTTTGAATTAAGAGGGTATGAATTAACAAGATTCCACTGTACCCTATTACCCTCTGATATTTTTGATTGAAGTGTGTTTGATAGGATGTCGGACGGGACGTTGTCGCGGATGGAAGAATCTCGACAGGTGTAAACTGAAAATAAAGGTTTGATCGGCGAACTTGTGCCGGAAACAAAAAAAAAGAATGAGCTTCGAAACAGCAGCAGCGAACGTCATGGCATTGGCGTGACAGCTGGCTGGAGCGGCTTGGAGAGCGAGCAAGTTGTCGTCGGTAGAGTGACTTGGGCCTTCTTTGATGTGTCCGTCAGAGATTAGTCTGTCACTCAGAATTCCTACAAAAGCAGCTGTCCTCTTTCTTCTGCCTGTGGCTTTGACGGCACTGTATGCAACTAGTGAGATAAAGAACAATCGCATGTTTCCCTCCGCACGCTGATTGGCTCACTGGAACTGTAGCCTTTGCCATTTGTGAAGAAAACACCGCTATCAGACGAGATAATAAGGATAATAATATGTGTTTCATTTTGCAAAGAATTTTGCACAAATCTAACCTGCAAAAGCAATAATTGCTTTTCTGTGGGGCAAGGCTGGCCTTAGAAAAATTTACTAGAAGAACAATGAACAATAGAAAAACGCTGTTCACCATTAGCAAAACACTGTTAACCATTAGCAAACACCTTTTTATGTTATGAAAACAAACCACCATATATACATGGTGATTAAGTAACATATTTTATTATTCTAAAATTAAAAAAAAAAACAAGCAATAGAAAACTGTGTGCAAATAGTAAACACATGCTTTATACCATGCAATTAAATGACGAATTCTATGATATTGAAAGTACTCGAAAACAAACATACACAAAGATGTAAATCCTGTTTTGTACTCCTGACACCATTTTGAATGAAAAAACTGAGTGCGCAGGCGAGCTGGTGGATGTTGATCATAATGTAGAAAACCCGAGACTGTGGTAAAAGCAGGGAAACGGTGTCGGAGAAGAAAGACAGGGGAAAAGAATGTTTTGAGACGTTCCTTTTCCCCTGTCTTTCTTCTCCGACACCGTTTCCCTGCTTTTACCACAGTCTCGGGTTTTCTACATTATGACCTTTTTTAAGTTTGAGTTTTGGGTGTCTTTGCATCTTATTGGTTCAAGTTTCTAACGGACAAAGAAGGCTCGAAGAACAAGGCCGCTTACGTCTCGTCAGCTCAGTCAACGAAGAAAAAATGAGGACAAGGAAACCGGAGGGAGCTTCCCCAATGGGTAAGACACCTAAATTGGATGGATAGCAACAAGCCTTGTTTTACTTGCCGTTTGTATGTATTACTCTTTTCCTTCTTTTCTCGACGCACACTTTCTCTAGGGCTTGAGGCCGCCCAAGAAGCTCATGAACCCTCTGTTCACATGATCAGCACTGACCAACTGTGCATGCTTTTTCGGCATGCATGTGTCGTCTGCTACAGATGCACGGTTTTTCTCACTACCAATTTTTTATGAACATCTTATCTGTGCCAGACATTTTTGAAGAATTATTGTTCTACCAACTTCTAGCGATACCCTTGAAAAAATGAATGAGCCTGTTCATAATTTCAGTCGGACCATTTTTAAACCAGAAGGTTCTTATATGACTCGAGAGCATCACAAAAAAACGGTGCACATACAGCGATTCTCTAAATTTTTCAGTTACCTGACACCAGCCAATGGGAATGAGGCAGCACTGGTACCTCATTCACTAGCCGGAATAAGCGACCATATCACCTAGCAACAACCAACTTATACCCATGCCACATGGGCAACTCGAATGCCATTTACAACGAATGACATTCGTGTGATCAACGAATTGGCACGTGATCTGTCGCGCGTGAAACGCCCCACGCTCGGAGTGTCGTGTGCTGATTGGCCGATCGTTCAAATGTCATTCGTTTTAAATGGCATTCAAGTTGCCCTTGTGGCACGGGTATTAGTGCATTTTTTACTGCATATACTGATCATGAGTATCTGTAAGATTAAGATACATTAACGGTGTGATAGGCTAACGTCTTGCACCATAAAAGGGCCAACCACTCAGTTTGGCAGATATGATTGGAACCTTATACACTTTTTGATAGAAATGGGCTCTACTGATGGACAGCGCTTAGCAACACCTGCTTTTATTTTTTTCAGGTAGCTTCAAAGCATTCACGTCAATTCCTGTGATTTTTGTGAATACAAGGCATTCGTAAACTTGATGGGCTCGTTTGATATTGATTCACCTGCGGCAGCCTACATTGGTGCAGAAAAGTAGCATGGTCTGGTGCAGAAGAGTGCAATATACAATGTAATTCTGCGTTTTCTTTTTGTTTGTTTTATTAAGATGGGCTGCATTTGTAGATTAAGTACAGTGGTGTGCACCGTGTGCAACTAGTGTAGAAGATGTGGGTACATCGAAAGGAGGCCAGTTAGCAACACAAAAACTGTTTTGACAGGGAACATCGTCTTATGGAAATAATGTAAATTAAAATATTTTTCTATATTTTCACGGCGAACTATACTTCGTTGCAAGTTAAGAAAAGTAGAACAGGTTCCTTCAGTAAAGCCCTTCACTCTTTCCATTTTAGCAGAGTGAATGCCGTTGAAGGACCTCCATGTCTCTCCTTCTCTCCAGCATTTGCTCTGCTGAACTGGAGAGAAGGGACTCGGGACGAGGGCTTTGTGGAAAGACTTTGTACGACTTTTCTTAACCTGCAACAGGAAATGACGATCAAAACTATTTTCAGGTCCTAAAATAAGCGACGCCACATAGTTGAAAACGTTTGACAATTGTGGGTGTCAAAATAGGTAGAAATTATTCATGCTCGAATGTGATTTTTTTTTAATTCCCGTAATTACTGAAGTGGAAGCCTGGGCAAGTTGGTATGACGTACTTAAAAGGTTAAAACAGCGCAAAAAAACGACGGACAGGGTCTGTGTCCTTCTTTACCCTGTCCGTCCTTTCTTGCGCTGTTTTAACCTTTTAAGTATCCCGTAATTAATTGAATAATACAGTATTATTCAAATTTGTTGGATTCGACGTAGAACTTGGAATAACCGCCACCTACCACCACTTAAAGCCCTTTTATCCTGGGAAAAGTGCAAAGTGGCGCCATTCATTGTTGCAGAAATGCTCGAGGCACGTGCCGCGCGCCACTTCTGGGATATTCATGGCGTCTGAAATCTAGCTCAGTGCTGCGCTGTGCCGCCATGATCTTCCCAAGGGCTGCAAGTTGCACGTGCCTCATGCATCGAAGAACCTTGCGCTACTTTTGAAACATGAAGGGGCTTTACCACCACCAACCCCGCCACTACTACGCGAACCGAAACCTCTTTTTTAGCTAACCTTGGCATAAACGACGACATGATTCTGACAACCAATACCAAAAGGAAAGCCGAAAGGATCCAATCCAATCCAAATCGTAGTTGGCGGAGTTGTGTGTGAAAAGAAATACACGTGCAACGTTGAAACCACGTTGTTTACAGTGTGAAGCGAAAAGTTTGTTACCGACAGCAAAATCTATTCAAAGCTTCAAGCGCCTTCTGACACAATAATGGTATGTTCCATGAAATTTACTGTTTTGTTGAAGACGCGAGAGTTGACTTCGCAAAACCTCCGTTTGCCGGCGGCTACCGCCGTAGGCCTACCAATGAAACGTTCAAAATACGATTATGTGAAGAGCGCGCCGCAGCTACCCCGAGCGTGCAGCCAGGACCCCGTCTGGGCGTGGAGTCCTACCCTGCGTAGATATGATTACCGCCTTTGAGGAGGATTGCTATACGCCGTCTCTGCTCGCCATCGTCAGCACCTCACTGGATAGAAGCGCCGAAGGCCGGACAAACTGAAGGAGGTAACGACAACAGCGCTCCTTGTTGCCGTTACCTCCTTCACTTTGTCCCTGTCCTTCGGCGCTTCTATCCAGTCATGAATCAACGAGCCCAACTGGACATTTTGTTGCACCTCACTGAGCTGCACAGTGTCATCGCGTTATCATTAGATTCGACTCGGCACGCCTTCATGACATCGATGATGGAGAAATTAATGACGCTAATGCCAACTTGGCCAACTATCCATCCCCTTGAGGGAGAGATGGGATCGTGTGACTCCCATCACCATGTTGTATTGCGCGGGCCCTTTAAAAGTGACAGGATCACGTGACTTGGTGGCCACGAGTTTGTCGTTAAACCCCAGCTGTGCCCCTCCCCCCCCTCGCAGTGCAGGCAAAATGCTCCAGGTATGCGAGATTTTTCACTCTCCTTCTTGTGGTTCCTACTCATGGCATCTCAATGTATGGTTCCGTGGTGAAAGCTTGGCCATCGCATTCTTAGAACTAACTCCGAAACAGTTGGCGCTCTAACAGTACTTTTATTTCCATCGATGAAATCAGATTTAATATCACTAAAGACGTCATAGTGAGTGTTTGGCCGATCGGGGAAGGTCGACCAAAGCGACGCTTTTGCTTGTGCACGTCGCCAGCTGACTGTTGCAACAGGAATTGGGTGTGTGTAGTCCAGTTGTCAGGTGTGTAGACGAAACGCTGCTCATTTCCAGGGGTAGAATGGCGAATTGTGGTCACAGCAAAAACACCAACCACAGTGTAAAAAGGCCCGGGTGTAGTAGCGCCGTTTCTGGAGGTGTTCAAACTTTTGTCCAAGTTTCTCATGCATGCCACCAGATGGCACCATGGTTGTCAAAGCCCACAAAGGACCTTCTGCTACGCGGGGAGTGAACCATTTGTCGACTACAGCGAAGCTTTGCACGCGGTAAACTGAATGCGACAGTTAAACATGGCACTTCGAAATGGCGGTGGATATTCCTGATGTTGTGTAAGGCTACTGACCATTCCAAAGAGGGTCTTCTGGCCGTTGTAATTTTTGGCGCTTTTGTGTATGGCACCCGCTTTCTTTACAAAGCCAGAAATTCGAACCTGCTGTACTGTTCAGATCACGCACTGGGCTGAGGAACGGTAATGTTGGAGTGTAAAAAACAGGACCTCAGATTAAGCGCACTACTCACGTGCAAGGAGCTTAGAATCAATCGCAATGGATAGGATGCTGAAGTTCTCTTGTTACAGCAATATGCTATTTGCTTATTAAGTACCCCCCGATTCCACATCAGGCGAAGTGCTTAACTCGTTTGCACAAACGAGTCTACTTTAAAATAGAGCAAAAATAAAAATGATGCATTATTCGCATACTTTTTATGAAGGTCGACGTTTCATCGCACTGAAAAAACTGTCACTCAAGCTTTCACGCACGTTAGGAACACAACTCGTACGCAGCGCTGAGCGCTGTGTGAGAGTCAAAGCCAATCGGAGCTCGGAGTGATATACAGTGAAATGCAGCTTGAACAAACTCCAGTTAAACAAACTGTTCAGATGAACAAACTTGCAACAATAAATACTTGGGAGGGTTCCTCAAGTCCTACCTGACAGAGTTTTCGTGTTACGCTTCGTCGAAAAAGTTGTACTTCGTCGAGCGTGACTATCTTGGGTTGAGGCCTAGGCGCTCCACAAGCATAGCTGAAAAGTAACAAATACATTCCAACCACAAATCTATGCTTCACAAGGCCTCTTCCCTGCGAGCGCTTTGGGCTGCTTTGCCACGTCCAACCACTTGTCTGCCAGTAAGGTTGGAGGCAAAAAGGATATGAATGTGATATTGTCTCTACCATTTAGTTACTCTAGTTACTCTAGCCTGCTCCTCAGGTTGTGGCAGTTTCTTGCTCTCCGAATTTCTGCTCCAGAGAGAGATATTGATGGAATGAAGCCCTGCAAAAGAAAAACGCTTTCAAACAATTAATTGCACGGTGCACCAGCGACACTTCTGGTGCCCCCTCCTTGGTTGTTGAGTCAATGAGTCCCCTAAAGGCCCAAACAAGCGCTTAATTGGTGTCCATGTCTCCGCTTCAGCACGCGACTGGCGATGAAGAGGGCAACTGCCCCCATGTGGACGTGCGCCCACCTGCGTCAGTCGGGCGCTACGCAGGGTCAACAGCGTGTTGGCACTGCACACGAGAAGGTTATTTAGAGCTTATAAACCTTCAGTTTTAATTTTACATTAAAGATTACTAACTGTTGATCCAAAACAGTCATATACCTTGCTGCGTCTGCTGCACGTTGACCAATCAGTGAAAGCTGGAAATGATGCCTAGCAAGTCAGTTCCAGCGTTGACGACAAGATCTGGCCAAAACGGACATTGACACTTCGCGCGCGTCGCATTGTTGCAGACGTTCTCAAACGATGCATCTGGATGCATCTGGATGCGGAGAGACGCGGACACTGTAGAGATGCGCGAAAAACTCCTTACATGGTCGGGGCTTCACAATGACCGGCGTTCTTCTGTGTCCCCAGGCAGACGAGGTGAACCCCAAAGCCTACCCGCTTGCGGACCCGGAGCTCACAACCAAGATCCTGAATGTTGTCCAGCAGGCCACCAACTACAAGCAGATGAAGAAGGGCGCCAACGAAGGTGAGGTCGTGAAGGGGCAATTCGGTACCGCCGGGAATATGAGGCTCGTGCATTGCTTCGCCGTCGGTGGACCTCAAACCTGCCCGAGCGGCAAGTGTGTGCGTCTTGGCTTCGCCACATGCCATACTGCGCTCACCCCTATGCTGACATTGCTGTGGAAGCTATGTGCCCGTTGGATGAGCCGTGTGTATATCTTTTGCCACGTGATCACGCTCCTGGCTCATGCTCAGGCGCAGAGGGCAAAGTTGAAGGGGAGGCGGTTGCTTAGTCTGGCGAGTGTGTAGCTCTCACTGAACCTTCAGCTCAGGGCTGAACAAAGTATAGTGTTGCACCCGTTGTGAGACACTTAAAAGGGCAGTAAAGTGGGTCTATTTATGGTCATAACTCATTCTATGGACCTTGAACATTCTAAGAAACCCGATTGATACGTGTCCGATTTCCCGAATTAAAACAGGATCAAAGGTCACAACGCAACATTTTTATACAATTCGGCACAGACACGAGAGCGTTTCATTGGACGTGCGACGGCCAATCGCGAGCGATTGCTTCTTGTGCAGCGAGGGGCCGGACCAAGGACGGGCCGTTTCTTGAATGTGTGCAATCCACTCGCAATTGGCTATCGCACGTCCGACAACACTCACTGGTTTCTTTGCCGAATCACGGAAAAACAGGTGTGTCGTGATCTTTAATCCCCTTTTAATTTGGGGAAGTTGGAAGCTTGTTAATCTAATCTCGGGTTTTTCTAAAATGCTTAGTGCCCGTAGATCAAGCTGGGGCCATAGATGGTTTCGGAAACCACTTCAGTGCCCCTTTAAAGGGGTAGGGAAATGAAATTTCGGCGCTCATTTTCTAGCTTCAATGTGTTGCATCTTGCACTCTAACCTCAAGAACACCAGTCTTCCGTTGAAAAGCACAAGAAAACTAATTTTAAAGCTAAATAAATGACTTTCAATGTGCACCTGATGGATGCATGCGGAGCCTATTTAGGAGGTAGTCTAGCAACGTTGTGGAATCTGCTACGTAGTCGTGACGTAGCAGATTCCTTCGGAGCAGCGCCGCTCTTTGGCATTTCAACGTTTTCCTTCTTAGCTTTCCTCCTGAACTCACAAATCGCGTATTTACCAACGGTCCAAGAAGACGGTAAGGAAGGACTCCCCTCTTCCTCGGACCCTCGTTCGTGCAACCGGAAACAACCATTCTCCCCCTAGAAGATTAGCCCGTCCCTCAAAGCTCGAACAAAAGTTGCTTTCCTCACCCCGTTCAGCCCTGAGCTGACAGTGTTGTGGAAGCTACGTGCTCCTTGCGCCAGTCACACGCTCGTCACCCCACGGCTACTTCGAACAGCTCGGTTGTAACGCGTTGACACTATTGACACCACCACAACGCTGACAACGCCACCAAGGGCAAAGCTCATAACCACGTCTGCCTTGCTACTCCACGAACGCGGGAAATCTTTTCTTTCTGTTTTTGTATGCGCCGGATATCCCATGACGCATCGCGCTCTCCGTTCGCTTCTCTTCGAGCGCTTGCTCGAGTGCACCGTTTGGAACGAAAAATATAGCCAATCGTTCAAAATACAAACGTGTGATTATCATTTACGGTTATTATACGACATGCTTGACTCATTTCCGAACGAAATTTGAATATTTCAATTTTTGTTTCCGTACCCCTTTAAAGAAGTGTGAACGGCAACGTGGATGCAACATGGTTGGCACCGATGTTACCGCCGTAGAATACCGCGCATCTGCCCTGTCCACATTAACCGCCCATTCCCAAATTTGTAAGGTCTGAGAAAATGTGCACAGTACATTTATATGTAAAATCAATGGCTGGACAAGCACCCATCCCCCATTATTTCAAGATTATCTCTAAATCTTGAGCGAGCTCTTGCCTTGTATTTTACGGTAGATCGTTTCAGTCGTAGAACTTTCCATGGACGTCGTTCCTTGAAGGACGTTAAAAACCGTGTCCATATTTTTGTAATGGTAGTGCACGTCGTTTGCCTCAGTCGCCGACGAGGTGAGGACGGCTGGGAGGAGCCTCGGTCGTCCCTCCTCCAGCGCGAGCTTCCGACCTTCGTCGACCTTGAGCGCGCGTGCGCAACCAAAGTACAAAATAAGGCATGGGGTACCTGGTGAAGACTGGGCAGTTGAGAGGCTTTCTCTGCCGTTCTCATTCTGCCAGCGACTATGCGGTGTGCAAGTCGGTCTGCTTCTTGCACAGGGATCGCGGTGACGTCGGAACGCCAAGCTCCGATTGGTTCGATCGGAAGGATAGTGGGTAGCCCCCGAGGCAGCTAGCATCCGGGTCTACCCACTATCCTTGCGATCAGAACCAATCAGAGCGCAGCGTTCTGACGTCGCCGCAACCCCTGCGCGGGACACGGGCAAACTTGCGCTCCGCATAGCTGTAAGTTGTGTACCGAAGCCAGATATTATCAGCTCTGCGCTTTATTTTATACTACGGTTAAATGGGTAAAAGTTCTTTTGTAGGCATTGAGGCGAATCTACGGTAAATGCATTGCGAGTGTCTTGCACCTTTAGCGGGCGAAGATTTGAAGCGTGTCTCGATACCCACAGTGATCCAAGGGAATGTGTTTTTAATGGAATAAGTAGCTTCTTTTTTTTTAAACGCTAAAATGCACATAACAGCCTCGCAAATTTTGAGAGTATTTTCACTTGAAGGCACAAAAAAAAGTATCCGACAACAGCAATAATGCCTCCTACTACAGTACATCCGTTCGCTCACAGACAACACGCGAAGAAGCCACCTCTCTAGACCAAAGTTCCACAACCAAGTTGATGTAACAACATTGAACGGTGCCGCGTAGGTTCATTAGTGATTGCTTTATACGAGGAAAGGCACCAACCTCATCTTCAGGCGGCATTGGGCGGTGCCTCGTTTCCCCACCGCTTGTCGATGCTAAAAACACTGGCTAGGTGGTGCAAGCTGCCCCCCGATTAAAGGGTTTAGTAATATGCGTTTATCTATCCATCCGTCCGTGTTGCAGCCACCAAGGCCCTGAACCGTGGCCTGGCCGAGATCATTGTGATGGCAGCTGACGCAACCCCCTTGGAGATCCTGCTGCACCTGCCGCTACTTTGCGAGGACAAGGTGCGCCCACGGGGATCTTTTGCCCTTGCACCTAGAGCCTCTACGTGGGCTACACCTCAGACTGACGACACTTTGGCCATCCTGTTGCTTAAAATCAGTGTTGCCAGTCATCCAAAGTTATTTGAAATCGCGGAAAACGATAGTCGGTACCATTGACGACTAAGCAGAACGATGTTGCCTAAGCTTCTCGACACTATGTCTCGAAGCCCATTCACACGAATGCACTTCTTACATTTTATTACTTTGCATTAACAATCGCCGAGACATCCGTGCTTTGTATGTCACGTGCAAGGCTACTTCTTTGGTTGATTGCTACGCTTCCTAGGAAGCGCGGATATTCCAGTGACTCTTGACATGAGCGGACGCGGCAAAGCCGTAGGGCTGAACTTTTGACGTCTAGCGGAGATGGGCGTGGGGCGCGGGTCAGGCACAAGTGCCGCACAGACACTTGGCCGAGACTCAGTTTCCAACTGATTGAAGACGAGTAGTAGCTGAACACTGATGCAGCACTGTGGATTGCAGCTTACGATAAGCTCTAACACGCCATACTCGGCGTCAGCTATTTTGCGCTATGTCGTCGAAGCTCGCATAGCTCCCAAGGTGCCATAGCCCCGCAGTGCTGCGAGAGCGCGTTGCTTTGTCCTGTTTCTCCGTTGCATCTGCCCGTGCCATTAGTTTTGGCAGAGTCAGAGCAGTGCAGAAGTTACACTAGCCTCAACAATGTAGCTTAGTATAGCTTGTGCCGAGTAATAGACAAGATATTTGTTGCTGTTGACAGCAGTTCCCTTACAATGTTTGCACTGGATAGACGAAGAGCAATGGTATGGCAAGCTGGGCTAGTTGGTGTTCGTTGATCATGACGTAAAGCAGAGCTAAACGGACAGAACAAAAGGAAGCAACGCTGGGCAAACACGTGCTGACTCACAGCTGAAATACAGACATAAAAAGCACTGTACAACGAGGCAAAAGAAAAAAAGGAAAGGAAAAACGTGAGGAAGAACGAAAAATGTAGGACAAGGCACAGGAATTTTAACTGGTAGTTTGGAAACAACCTCCGAAATTTCACTTGAACCTTTCATTGTACCATTTGTTTAAGGTTTTTTTTTCTTTAGAACTTTGCTTTATACATTACACTGCTGCAAATGCCTGCACATACAGCGCATGTAACTACGCTCGCGCATGCTCCTTGCTGCCTGGTAATTTAGCTAATGGTTCATTGCTGCCTCCTGTTCAGTTGCTACTTGCCTGAACAGTAGCTCACTGCACAATTTACATGCCTAGATTGGCCTCCGTCGTAACTCAAAACAGTACAACATTGATTCGTTGTCCAGACTGAATGCCTGCCACAAGTCGCCTTTGTCAACTGTCTGAGGTTAGGAAAGGTCACCTCCTCTGCGGCGTTCACTCGCTAGAGTGGAAAGAGTAGAGGGCTTGGCGGGAGAAGCTTGACCTACCTTTTTCAACCTGCAACAGGGTATAGAGTGGGCTCTCTTTTGGACTGTTTTCCCAGTGCTCCACTGACACTAGCCTAGCGCGAAGTATCCAAGCCCTCTTTGGGGGTCGTCGTGACCCCTCTGTAATGAGTGCTATGGGCCTTGAGGGGATTGAAATAAGTAAATAAATAAATGTAGGAGTTTTCCAGGTAACTCGGAATAACGAAACCCTGGACTCTACTTGCATTTTCGGCTATACGTTGACCACAGTTGCAAGCCGTTAAACGATTTCCAGAATTTGCAGTTTATATAGACGGACCTTGGGCTTAGGCTCAGTGCCTCGTGCCTGTTCAACCTTGAGCTTTGACAAACTTGGTTTGCCGTACTTGTAGTTCGAGGTTGGAATTTCCCGCAGGATGTACGTCATCAACTGAGTGGATGACGATTGGCCGTCACTTTGTGTTGAGCAATTCTTGTCGCACATCCTCGAACAGCAAAGTTATTGTCCCCTTTGTGCTTTCTTTCAGAATGTGCCATACGTCTTTGTGAGATCAAAACATGGTAAGCACCTTACTGATCATTATAGCGGAAGATTATAGGAGGAAGGACTGTATTCCTAAAGGGTGCCGTACGTTTTAAAGTATCCATTGGTATTTCCAAGGTTTATGCCTCTCTTTAAAGGGACACTGACACCCCCCAAAATTTTTTTTTCCTTTTTTGTCAGGCGATTTATTAATGTGTCGGAACACTACCCAATTAATATTTTGCTAGAGTCACGTATATTTTTAATGAAGCCAAAAAACGCAACTGCTCGAAACCGAAACTCCTGCACCGCACGGAGAAGTGCCCAACCCCCTATCTCCTATCTTTAGACGGCTAGCGCAACAGAGGTAGGTGCCGCTCGGCCTGCGTACTCGGTGAACGAGAACGATCCTGACGTCACGTTCACGTAGCGGCTGATTTCCAGTGTTGCTGGGGCCTGAAGCGGCTAGTTTTGGTTTTGTTGACCGCACACCAAACAAAACTTTGAGGCGTTGATATCTTTAAAACTACGCACAATAGCGAGAAAAAAAATTACACCATGCATTTCAGGGACGCTGAGTGCGCTAAAAACAGTCCTGATCCCAAAATCGAAAGTATGGATTGGAGTTGCCCTTCAAGCCTCTTGCGATCGGTTACAATGGGCTACGTAGCAGCACAGTCGGTTGTAAACAATCGCGAAAGGCTTAAAACAGATTTTAAGCGTCTCCAATTGTGGATGGTCCCTAATGTGCATGCAAGCACATTAGTGACCATCCACATGCAAGTCGGGAGTGTTCGAGGACTGCTCGACAGATTGTTCCAGCGCATTCTCTCGTGAGTGAGCCAGTCCCAACCTCTGATTGCAGCCCTGGGCCGTGCGTGCGGTGTGTCGAGGCCAGTCATTGCCTGCTCGGTGACAGTCAACGAGGGCTCCCAACTCAAACCCCAGATCCAGGGGCTGCAGCAGGAGATCGAGAAGCTCCTCGTCTGAACGCACGCCCGGGGCACCCTGTACCATACGCGTCTTTGCCCATCGCATCCCTTCTTATTTGCCATCTCGTTATTAAAGGACTCTCTCTGGTGTTGCCACATGTCTCGCCCCACAGAATCCACGCTTTTCTTTTTTTAGTGTCGGCCGACGAGCGTTTGGGTGTTGCCTCGCAATTTTAAGGTTTCTCATTTTGCGAGAAACCTGATGCTGCTCACTGCAATGTGATGTAATAATGTCCTACACCCGCTCCTTAATAAAGGAACACTGCATCGCCAAAATCTTTTTGGACGAGAAAGCAGGCACCAAAGTGTCTGGCCTGTGCAGACAAAGGTCTCGGCTTTTCTTTCTAAAAGTCTTGTGGCCGCGCTTTTTTTTTTTTTTTTTATTGATTTTGGCTTAATATTGTGGACAATTTTTCTAGGGATCGGAGGTGTTCATAATGATGATATGGACTGTAGTACCTCGAGCGTTGAGTCGAGTGCTACCTGGGGAGTCACTGACGAAAAGTGGCGTGTTTGGTGACCTCCCCCCAAAAAAGTGCCCATTGAAAGTGGAATAGTGCATTGTATAATGCCCTGCCAAGGTCTGTGCAATAGACCTTTTAAAAAATTTGCACCAGTGTCCGTCTGCCATAGCTTGCTCACATGCACCAAGCATGTATTGAACGCGTTGGCGTTGACTCTGCTCGGCTTGTATTCCAGACGAGAATCGAGTCGGTGTTTGGCGATCCAATCACGCGCTTTGTGTCCATGGGGGATCGGGCAAATACAAAATAAAAAGGAAATCGCACCCCCGCTTTTTCCCCCCAGCAACTGAGAGTCGCCAATTATCCTCTGGTCAACCTTGGGGGTTCTTTCCAACCCCAGACCCACTGAGAGACAAACAATGGCGACTGCCAATGTTGCATGTAAGATTTTTGAAAGGGTCTGTTGCTAGACACTCCTATCAAACTTTCACCAACTGTGCATTGAAGTGGTCCATTTATTAGAAAATTTCAAAGCGTAGTTTTGTTTCTGTAAAAAATTAGACCAACCGACTGGCGGACGTGTTCGCAGACGCCCGAAATAGTGAAGATAGATGCGACTGGAACCCTTTAAATCGGGCAACGGCTTGCGCTACGTAGCCAAAGCTTCTGCGAACACGTCCACCGTTGAGTTTGGCAAGTTTGCTGGTTTCGTTTTTTTACAGAAGAACCATGGCTTGAGATTGCACAAGGTGAAAGCCTGAGCTTCCTTTGTGCTCGTGCAAAATTTGGATGAATGGATGCTAACAGCTACACTCGTAGAGGGCGATAGCTTGCGCCACCTAGCCCAGAAGTTGGGAACCACAAGTATGTTTTTTTTGCCAATTTGCTTCCCCTCTGCAATTTCACAACTATCACCAGGGGCAGTGTGGGATAACACCAGGATGACTTTTGAAGGATCGAGCAAGAAAGCTAAAAACATCACTCCCCGCCTCTCGCCCAGGGAGGGGGAGAAAGTGGAAATAATGCTTTGGGGAAAGAAAGCTCGAGGTACACCTAAGCATTTCTTATGAGTTGTGAATGTGAAAGCATGCAAGCTGCTCGTCCCCTCCCTTTGTTGTCTGCTCTTCCACTCCCTTTGTCGTCTGCTGCGTACTAGCGCATGCGCGCTTTGGGATCTCTGAGCCATGGTGTAGTGGCCGATGGGAGCCCTGTCGACGCACGCTAGCCTATGGAACCGAAGGCGAATCGCTCCTATTGGGATCGTGGAAACCAGGAGCCGTTTTCGCGCTTCAAACTGATGACGTCGCCTCGTTCCATGAGATAAAAAAAAGCCATTCTACTCTATAAAGGTGCATTTCCACCGGCGATGTAAGCAGTCGCGCGATGCAACTAGATCACATTGCAAATAATTGGATGGCACACTGGCGTGCGCGATGAGCGAGTCCACCCAACGCCTTCGTTGGCTAGTCGTTTCTCGAAAGCTTTTGCTCCGAACACCGTTGATTAGATCAGCCGCTCCGCGACTAGATCGCATCGCAAAAAAGTCTGGTCGAGTAGCGACTGCTCAAATCTCATTGGTTTTTTTCCGCGATGGCCGCTTTTGCAATGAGAGCTATCACGGGACTGGGTGGAAATTCTTGGTCGCAATGGCATACATAGCACGTCCTTTACTTATAAATGACGTTGTTTTGAGCGAGAAGGCGTATAAAATTAAATAAACACGAAAAATACAATTTTACGCGACCCCTGGTGAGCGTTGTGGAAAGCTTGCTTCGTGACGTGAGCATTCTCATTCGCCTCAAAAGACGGACCGAGCCAAGCCAGGCGCTAAGCCGGATGGCGTTCGTTATTGTTAGTACCAGCCGCTTTGAGAACAGCCGCCGAGCGAACAATCAAGGCGAGCACCAACGAACGAGGAGAATGCGCGGAGGCACCAGGGGCGCTGGGGGCGCCGAGAATGCGCACGTCAGTTCCGCTACGCCTGCTCTCAGAAGGACTCGCTCGCGCCGGCGGCTTCCGGCCGAGGATTCGCTTTTCATCCAAAGAAATACAATAATTCGGGCCGCATCCGTCTGATTGAATATCGTTTTTAGGTACAGTACCATCCCGTGAAGCCCGCTCGGGCAATATTTATGAGATTTCAAATATCGGTTCAGCATCCCTTTAAAGGTGGATGACCAGTGAAGCTGTTTAGCACACGACACAGACCTGCCCCGAGGAGCCGGAGGAAACTTGACGCGCGACGGGACCGCCACCTCGGGAGAGTGGAAGGAAAGGAGACAAGGCTTGCAGGCGCTTGGAACGACGACAGAGAGAGGGCGGTGCGAGCGTAGACATGGCCGCCGACGCAGGTTGCACTAACGTTACTAAAACACTCGGTTGGGAAACTCGCCCTTGAAACCTGGGCCACTGGAGTCCACCGAGACCAAGCTAAATACGATAACAGTGCAACCCTTTAGCGACGAGTTGAAACAAAAGTTGCTTGATATGGCTACTGCAAGATGGCCCTGCCAGATGGCGCCACAGGCCTTTCCGTAACTCGACAGAACCGTAAGTGCAGCCGTGCAGTTCACGGAGTGGCTCCTATGGGGGAAATGGGAGTGTTGTGACCGCCATTAGCTCGGTACTGGGATAAGGATCGGCGCCACTTTTTCCGAGCAGGCTCTATGGCATTTTCTCAACTGAATGGTTCTAGTAACTTTGGGTCGCACTGAGAAACCTTTATTACCTACTTGAGAGTCCACTGATCTTGAAAATGGTGTGTTTCGGTAACTAATCTACTGAATAGCTAGATATTATATATAGCTAGATATAATAATATTATTATATTATTATTATTATTACCTATTGCTAAATTACCCAAGCATCAAGGAGAATGCAGGGAATGGTGTTGCGCCGCACGTGCCGGTGTCTGCAGCAGTAACAGTTATAAAGCAAATGCCGAAAACAGATGGCATCTTGCACGCGTGTTCGTCAACGCTTTATTTTGGGTATTTACTTCGAATCTTTTATACGGGGAAGACGTGCACGAGCGGGCGGTGCGAGCCGTGCGAGCGTACTGTTTTTTGGTCACGCACACGAAAAATCCACGGGAGCTTTGCTGTAAAAAGTAGACTAGGCAGGTGACGGTAAATGAGCAGACCTAAATATTTATTTTTTACACGCCGATTCTGTGACCGGGGTGGCGGGCCGAGGGCGTCCGCAGCACTCTCTTGCAAAAATGCGGATCAATGTTGGGATCAACGAGACGTCCGATTGGCTAGATGGCGCAAGCGCTCGCCCAATTCAGGGGTTTCAGTTTTAGCAGTGTCTGAGCAGTGTTTATTCCTCCATCACTCATACCAACGAGGGGGAACGGGGGGAACGTTCAGGTGGTTCAGGCAGTTTCAGGTGCATTCGGGCTGCTGTTGGAGGCCGAAGCGAGTGAAGTTGAGGTCGGTATCACCTTCAAAGGCTTCCCGACATTCAGCAAAGAGGTACTGCTGCAGCACATCTTGTTCTCAAAGGCGCGCGCAAAGATTAGCGGGAATGCGTGTTCAGGGAGCCTTGCATACGCTCCCTAGGAGGCAAAAGTGAGCCGCAAAGATCGGAGGAAGTCGTGTCCCGTTTGGGAACGTTGAACGCTCACCTTTGAAGCTTGAACCATGTTACGTTCGGTACCTACAAGTGAATTGCAACGTCTGTCATCTCTTCTACTCGAGTGAGAGCTGACGCAGTGATGCGGATGCAACATCCTCCGAAATTTCGCGCTCCATTGCAGACGATACACGAATGCCGGAAATGTGATAGGAGCTTAGCAGCGCCCAAAATGTTAGCAGAACGATGAACCAACATCTAGCAAACCTAATTTGACGACGGGCTAGGGCGTGCGTAGACTTTAAGATTTTAAATGAAAAACACCGATAAACGTCCGCAAGAGTCAAAAATACATATTGTGTTAAAAGGTACGGAAGGCAAATTTCAGGGCCTATTTATGTGTGTAGACGTGGTCTCCTTTATGGCAGCAGCTCACAAACACAAGTCTTTCGTCCGTAAACCCAAGAAAAAGTTTTTAAATAATTTCCGAATACAACCAAATAATTGAAAAACCACAAAAAAAAAAAAAAAAAGTTGCTTGTAGGTTTATACAAGCCTCGACGGGTTACCTGTATAGCCTCGACGGGTGACCTGTCTCTTAGCTGTAGATGAGAAATTTAGCCAGTGCAGTACAACTGCTAACCTGGGGTTTTTAACGTGCATCACGCTGTAGCGATTACACCAAACGCGTGCCGGTATGAAACTCCTCCAGATCGAACCCAGGAGGTTTTGCAGCGCAGGCTTTCACTTCACGCTTCGAGCTGACACGCGTTAGCCCACTCGGCCACCGATCCCCCTTGGGGGGCCGAGCTTTGTTGGAATGTCTTGCGTCACACATCCATTAGGAGCAGCGCCACGGCGCAGCATGTCTGATGCAGGCGTGCCAGGACCGTGTATTGGGAGAGTTAGGCCATTCATTCATTTGAATAGGCGAGCATCTTGTTGCGAACCACAGGTTGCGAAACAGTTGCGAGCTTTAAGAATGCGACTTGACTAATTTAAGCCGTTTTAGCATTGCTGGAGTAAAAAGGTGTAACCCTTGGTGACTGAAAACTTGGCGCATGTGAGGTTTTTGTCACGTCCATATTCAACGGTAGAATAAACTAACAAGCGCTCCAAACTGATCATTGCTGCTCTAAGATTGAACGCTTCTATTTCACACTTTAAATGTTGTCTCCGATGTTGTGACGCCGAGGTCTGCTGATTGGTCTATGCTGTGTCACACTTTTAGTGTATGCTCTAACCGCGGGAAAGGGGGGCGGGATATTTGGCGCTGGCGGCGGCCTTTGCTCCGTCCATTGGCCAAGCTCTCCCAGATATGGCTATGAGGCGTGCGGGAGCGAGCGGCGCTTGCCGCACCTCTCAGTTCTGGTACACCATACCTCAGGTACTCCCACTTGGCACGATTGTAACATGTTGACGATAAAGCTGGTGCCTCCTAGTGACAACAGTTGTAATTATGGCACCCTTGGCTGTTTATGGGCCCGTGAGTTGTGAGTATGACGTAACAGGCAAATATCCCAAGATGCATTGTGCCGCCTCGATTGCTGATTTTAAGCACTCACCAGAATCCGTTGGTTGGAAAGAAAAATATAGCCATCCGCTGAAAATGTGAGCATGTGATTATCATTCACGGATATCGTCGGTCATATTTCACCCATTGTGAAGTGTTCCGGAGATATTTCAGGTTTCGATTCTGTACCCCTCTAAAACCAAAACATACCAATTACTGAAAAAAATAAAAAATTGTTAGCTTGGATATTTTTTAATTTGGCTCGGAAACCCCCTCTTCACCTTCGTTGGGTGTGTCACCTGCACCGGTGTGCCCCGTCGTCTTCGATCAAGTGCACCGGTGCGCACCCAGACGTCCTTGATCAACGGAGCGCACCCTCCTGGGGCGGTTTTTCATTGCCCCGATGATCACCAAAAAAATTTATAACTTGAAGTAGAGTACAAAGTAAATGAGAGGTTCTGTACTTCAAATAAAGTAGTATTTTCACCAGTAGTTTCCACGGAGCATCTGATATCTCAAGAAAAATTCCTGAAAAAATGGATGAGATTGAAATTTCTTACGACAGAATACTAAATTTGGTGAACGTATTAAAGGTCAACAAAGCAAGTGGTCCGGACGGTATACCCGATCGTGTTCTCGCATCAGGCTCTATAATCACCTCATCCCGCTTAGAAATCCTTTTTAAAAAGTCTCTCTCGAGTGGACGGCTTCCTAGCAAGTGGAAAACAGTGAACATAGTGCCCATACATAAAAGTGGCCCAAAAGACCATGTCCAAAACTACAGACCCATTTCCCTGCTTTGTACGTGCTCCAAAGTAATGGAACAGAATCTACAGCAACATTTTTAATCACCTCGAAAAAAACTCCTATCTTACTACTGCACAAGACGGATTTAGAAAGGGATTTTCTTGCGACACTCACGCAGTTGGTTGAGTTCCACCATGACCTTGCAACTTCATTTGCTAACGGGCTACAAGTAGATTGCATTTTCCTTAATTTTCAAAAAGCATTCGCCACAGTATCTCACACATTCATTATTGCGGCGATGTCAAAACGACTCCGACCTCTGATTGGCTGTGATTGAAAGGATAGTGGGTAGACTGGAATGCGAAATGCCTTGAGGTGTATCCACTATTTTTTTCAATCATCCAATAAGAGCTCAGCATCCTGACATCATGGCAACCCCTTGCACTCTGCATAAAAAAGCCGATTTTTCCGATGGCCGATGGTTGTTGGGAAAACATGGAACAATGGCCATGTTTGTTAGCCTTATTCAGAGATGACTGTTAACTAAGTATTGTCACGAATCAAAGTGGGACATGAATGTGAAACTTAAAATAAGCATTTAATGAGGCAAACTAGTGCCTACAAACTTAAAGGGAAAAGTACCTGCATCTAGCGTTGGAAACAGAAGAGCCACTGTCCCGAAGCAGCACGTCACCACGGCTTTAATACGTATGGTACGTTCACAAATGTTCCAAACCAAACAAAAACACAATGATAGCCGACATCGGACTGGAACTTTCCAGTAGAGTACAAATCATCAAAGAAAGAAACACGTCGAGCGGGGTTCGAGCCTTGTTCATCCGCATGGCAGCCGCACATGTTGTCAACTCCACCACGCACAAGGCGATATAACTTAATTTTCTTTCCTTTGTCCGTAGTTCTACAGGGGTGGTCCACTGCCCTCCTGTGTTCTTGCTTTATTTAACAAGGTGATTACACAACGGCACGCCGGTACAGTGCCCATTCGTGTTGACTTGGGCAGTGACAGGGTGGAAAGCTCAGAATGCCCGAGTTCTGTGGTGCGAGATATCAGTTTACGTGCACTGAGCTGCTATGCGCTATCCTACTTGGCTGCCGAATCAATGAAATGGCGCTCAATGAAATGTCGGGCCCCGCGCTGTTAGTTACGTTGGTAGTGTAATTATCACTTCTGCGTGATGCATGTGAAAAATCCCATGTAGCAGGTGTCTTGCTCTTGCTGAAGTGCCCTTCAGCTATAGCTTCATTCGATTTACCTGCATCTCCTGCACCAGTAAAGAAAAGTGTAGGGCGGTTTACTTCCAGTCGTATTCGAATACGCGTATCGGAAGTACACTGCCCTACACCTTTCTGCTCCGGTGCAGGATGTGTAGGCAAATCGAACAAAGTTAATGTTGAAGCAGCATCACTTGCGACCTATCAAGGACAGATGGATCACGGGTTCTGCTGGTTTATCTTGGCCAGGGAGAAGCACTTCAGTCGGGGTATTTCATGTCGATTTGACGAATATCCGCACATTTAGTAGCTTGAGAAAGGTTGTCGTTTTGTATGTGTAGACACTATCTTAAAACATTGCACATTGACGTAACAACTTGTTTTACAACGATCCTCTAAAACCACCACGTAATTTTCTTATTAGTGACGGATATGTACCGTACTGGCAATGCGACAGAGAAAACAAGTGGGTTGTTTTTAACAGGCCTTCGAACTTTAGGTCAGGTGGCGCAAGCTACTACTTTACAACAAGGCACACAGGAGTTGTTTCCTCATCCGTTCGTCATCATAATCTCGGAAATATTTTGGTTGTGTCTCGAATGTATTATCCTCGTAGCTCTCTGATTAGCTTGATGCACTTGCAGGCTGTGTCTGCCTTGTTCTGAATTACTCTCATTGCTCTTTGCATTTAATCGTAGGCATCTCAAGTGGTTTCATGCGTCCTTCGTGATCGTATGGGCCTCTTTATGAATCTGACCGCAGACATCAATGCGAATGGAACCGATTCAGTCTTCAAGTGTCGGTGAGTTCTCATTTCAACCTCTTTTGATAAACATAGAACCAAGGGCGTGCTTTGCCCATGTGTGCAATACACCTGCCAGGCTTTCTAAAAGTTAGTGCGCGCTTTCTAACAAAATAGTGGATATGGCGACATCGGTTTCAGGCACGAGCAGAAGGCATGAAGCTCGCTGCCAATTGAGCAGAACGACGCATGACTCAAGAAAATGACTGGAAAATTTTCTATCTCGTCTCGTCGATAACGACAACAGGACACGCGTAACTTTGACAGATGACACTTTTATTTGTAATCCACTCCACTTTACTTTTGTGTGTGACGGTAAGATGACGCAATCATTGTTGATCCAAATTACCGTGCAATTGATCGCGTTTGAAAGGGGGGCACGTTCAACGGACGAAGAAATACTGCTTTAAGGGGGGACACCACCCAAAAACGTGAATGTTTTAACCACTTGTCTGATTTAAACGACATTTACAGGGCTTGTTTCTGTTGATGTTGACAACATTTCTGCCAAGCTTTGTTAACTTGGGTGAAGTACAAAAAAAAAAAAAGTAGCAAATGTTCAAAGCATTGAGCATGAAAAATTACAAAAATAAAAAAATACAAGCTCTATGCTATCTTTTCCTTTAAATTTCTCCTCAGAAAAACTCATAAAATTAATCCAAGTTACGTAATAACAAAACAATAGTTTTCGAAATGTGAAATTTATGCCAAAAAGTGGAATGGAGGAAAATGTTTTCAAAGTGCTCCAACCTTTACCCTTTCTTAAGCATCGGTGGACCGAATATAATTTTTAAAAGATTAACTATTATGTAGTATAAACTAATGAAACTTTCTGGGAATACTCTCAGATGTTGGTGAATGTGACATATTTCAAAATCAACTTTTTTGCAGAAATTGTTTTTTCTGGGTAGTGTCCCCCCTTACAGACGTCATTTCAGAGTATTCTTTATCGAAGACTGCAGAGAAGCAGATGGAGTTCAGTGAGTCAGCATGGCAGTGGCATCACTCTGTCATCTCATTTCACCACGGCTTCCAAAGCACTTTAAAATTTCCCCCAAAATAACCACCGCAAAAAAAATAAAATGAAATGCTCATGTTGCACTATTTTGCCGATAGCGTGGGTCCACGATGAGCAACAAACCCACAAAGAGAAGCCATTGGCGCTGACGAAGCATGTCGACCATACTCTTGGTGTTGCTAGACCCAATGGCTCGATGATGTGGCCACGCTGAACATTTTGACAGCTCACTGCGCAATGCCAGCATTCGGCGCCTGCATTGCGTCGCCAGCCGTTCTCATTGTTATCTTGAAAAAAAGATAGTTCATCAAGACGTGACGTCAAAGGGAATCGGGAAGCGATTGGTTTCGCTCTATATGTGGAGACTACGAATGCGACCTCCAGACACCGATGGGCGGCGCCACTGATCAACCTTATCGAGGTGGTGCGCGCGTTGTGCGCATTACAAGCTCGACTTCACCGCTACGCGGGAAAGCCCTCCACTTGTGTCCCATAGTCGGGAAACTCGGCTGAGAAGACGCCAAAATGCCCACAATTCCCCCCCCCCCCCCCCCCCTACTTCATCTGCCATGTCGATGACTGTGTCGTCATTTTGGGTGTTGGAATGGACGGCGCGGCTGGTGAGACTGGCGTAGCAGGTCCTTTCATTGGCGCTGGACGAGGGCTATGGCTGGTTCAAGATCGCGCTTGTTGAGCCGGTTAATGCATGCACTAGTGGAACTGCTGCGCCATTTGCACCAAACTGTGCCAGTACAAACAGCCTGCTACGTGTTGCTCCAAAGGCTGTATTTCTGCACAATTTGTGCCATGTCTGCACCAAAGGGGAGCTGTTCTCGAAAAGGAAACAAAATATAAAAGATATAAAATATAAAAGAAACAAACATAAAAGGAAATGACGCTACTGAAAATAAAAAAAAGTAGTTTTTTTATTTTATTTTTTATTTTTATGTATTATGTGCAAGGAGAATATTATAATTTTCGAATAGTAGTTTCAAATAATATGCCATTCATACTTTTTGAAGTGTTAATCGTGGCGGGTTAACCCTACTAAATTACAAATAGCGCTAGGACAAGGACAGACGAAGAGGACAGGACAGGCGCTAACTCACAGCTGACGGTTTTATATACAACGTTAAAGAAGAAGGTGAAGGAAGTGTCTGGAGCTGAAAAAAGAAGAAATAAATCTGTTTCTAGCTGGGGCACTCTAAGAAGATTGTTAGACTAAAAAGGCTACTAATTTGTAATTTAGTATGTATAACCAACTAGCCCGCCAGAATATCTTGAAGCGGGTTAACCCCCATGAGCGCGCTTCTCCTCAAGCACAAGTGCACTACAGAGAAGCAATACTCACGGAGCCGATAACGCGATCTTGCGACTCACTTTGCCACAGCGAAGTGAGTCACTTATTGTTATTGTTAATATTTATATTGCAGTAAAATCTTCCAAGTTTAACTGTGGCTGTTATGCGAGGATATATGCTAGGCACCGATGTTCTAGCAACCCATTTTCATTAATTGTGTTTTTATTTTTTTTAAAATTCAGAATTAAAGAAATTATTTTTATATAGCAAGAAGATTTATAAATCCCCTCAATTAAGTATGACTGGGCTCCTTTATAGGTTTAATTTTATGTCAAATCTGTCCTTTACTTGCCATCCCAATGTAGGTATTGGACTTTCTGAGGCCACAGCCTATAAATATATCTACATTAAATTTAACAGAGCTCATGAGTGTGCAATTTGAAGCTCCGAACCAACCTTCGCGAGTTCAGCCGAATTTTCGTTTAAGCATGGCGTGACAGTAGGGAAAGGCGTGGAGAAATGCGCAGCAACTATTCAGTATTCAATTAAACTGTATTCGGTCAAAAACACTATTCACTTTGAATTCGCTTCGATCCCAAAGTCCAATATTTGCACATGCCTAACGAAGAGTTATCGGCTTTTGTGCGAACCGCACTCACCTTGGTCACAATGAATAGCTAGCGCTATTCATTGTGATTGGTTAGAATAGCTATATGCTCCACTTATCTGCTCTCTGAACAGTAGCAGGTTGATGACGAGCAAAAGCAGCATGATACAAACAGACTGAAGATGCCATTGGTTTTCCTAATAGGTTAATTGAGACATCTACAAAATTACCGCGCTATCATTGTTCAATAAATAAATAAATATCTAGCGGCCAGGTCCCCTGAGGTATGACACTTTAATTAAATAGTCTCCTTTTGTGGCGACAACCCAATCCAGACGCTCTAAGCATCTCAACAAACCCGAAACCACAACTGTGGGTAGCTTATTTCCTCCTTAAAAGCGTGTTTAAAAATCTCAACACGCCCTTTTTGGGAAGACTTTTCTTCCGAGTGAAGTGGTCGACGAAGGGCGCTTGTCGGCGAGTTGCAAGCGATGGCTTCGCCCGCAGAGAAAAGGAGGAGTCTTATCTGAATCTGTGCCTATCGGACTCTCTTCGAAATGAGTTATAATAAAATCATTCCGAATCTGCGCATATTGTAGAGCTTTCATTGGTCCAGACAATGTAGTACTTGAGAAAAAAGAGTCCACATGTTTTTCTATTGCTCTGAGATGATTAGGCAGTTTTGTAATATAGGACTTGGTATATGTAGGAGCTAATGCATTTTAAACAATATAAGATCAAAAAAAGCCTTTTTTGAAAATGACTTCAGTGCCCTTTTAATGCTGTTCATGTAATAGGACAATTAATGGAGTTAATTGTATTTGAGCGATTCTGTGAACAAAAATAAAAAGGGTTGCAATATATTAAACCACTCAGCTGAAGTTGAACTGCAGGAATGGCTACTTATTTCTAAATCAATTGGCTATCTTGGTTGGACTTTTTTGTCTCCTAATTGACAGTTTTTCTTTTAGGCAATGAAGCTGCATCATTGGGGGAGACCAGTTGCCCTCTGAAAGCCACTGAGGACATCTGGTTTGGATGCTGTTCCTGCGCCTACTTCACCAGAGATCAGCGTCAAATTGTGAGCCACCTGGTTGCCCATGGTGATGAACAAGCCAAGTGCCACGACCCCCTCATGTCTCCTGGCTCTAGGTCCAAAGTGCACATCAACACTCATATGCACAGGGGTGTTAGGTTCTTTAAGTGCAAACTATGTCCTCAAGCCTTTAATTGGAAATCCAATTTGACCAGGCATAATCTATTGCACACAGGTGAAAAACCTTATAAGTGCAAACAGTGTCCCCGAGCCTTTGCTCAGTCTGGCAGTCTGGTCTACCACAACCACGCACACACAGGCGAAAAACCATTCAAGTGCAAGCTTTGTCCCCGCGCCTTTGCTCGCAGTTCATATTTGATGGCACATAATCGAACACACAATGGTGACATCGCTTATAAGTGTAAGCTGTGCCCCCAAGTTTGTACAAAGTATTCCCAACTGAGAATTCATTATCAGGTACACAGTGGTGACAAACCTTATAAGTGCAACTTATGTTCCCAATCCTTTGCACGGAAGTATACTTTGAGCTGTCATAATCGAACGCATACAGGTGAAAAGCCGTTCAAGTGCAAGTTCTGCTCCCAAAGCTTTTCTCAGAACTCCAGTCTGATCCGCCATAATCGAAGACACAACAGTGAAAAACCTTGAAAATACCTACAATGCCCCAAAAGTTTTTCTGTGAATTGGAGTCTGATCCACGAGATTCAAATGCACGTACCATAAAATTCTGTAAGCACACACTCCCTCCAGAGGTCGCCCATCCCGTGTCTCTGGCTAAATATCTGTAACATCAAAATGGTGAAACACTGCCCACCCCTCAATTTCTGTCGGGCGTCATGCAGTATTTGATGGGAATAGAATCAATTGCACGGTCCGCGGTACCGGCGTGTCTGACAAGCGAATTCATGGCGTTTTTCCGCGTTTTTGTCTGTGATTTGTGCTCGTGATATCAGCTCGTGTAACACGCGAGTTGTTCCCGCATGTATATTGCATCTTGGACGTCGAATCTGCTGTGTCCACGATCTGTGACGTGCAAGTTTGTAGCAGACTCCCGCATTTTAGCCTGCGATCTGTACACAATATCAGTTCCCGTGACAGGCAAGTTTGTAGCAGGTTCCAGCGTGTTTTTTGCACCATAAATCTTGAATCTGCTGCGTACGAGATCTGCAGTATCCAGTCCTGTGACATGCGAGTTTTCAGCGGGTTTCCACGGGTTTTTCGCTCCGTGAAACACGAATCTGGTGCGTCCGCAACCTGCGGTATCCTTTCTCGTGACGCAGGAGTTCATAGTGAATTCCCGCGTGTTTATCGCATCGTGAAACACGAATCAGCCTTGTCCGCGATCTGCAGTATCAGTTCCCGCGTCATGTGGTTCGCGGCAGGTGCCCCTATGTTTATCATAATTTTTGATAAAGTTTTGCTGTGGCACCCCTAAGATAGCCCACCCCCTGTTTTTCACCTTTTATCTCTTCATTTTGGGTGGGCATTCTTACGGAAATTTACAGTATCTGGAAATCCTTAGGGTTCACCTGTAAATTCAGCAGGCCATGCTTGATAATAGGCAGTTTTAGAACAGTGCACAATAAAGATTTGCGTGCGCAAAGAATAGCGTCGCCGCCACTGCGAATGTGCCGAACGCTAACCATGTTTTGCGCTTTGTGTGCGCTATTTTAGCGTGCGCTAATTTTTGGAAATTACATGCGTACGCAAAGAGGCTTTGCACTCCTCCAAAAAGGATTGTCGATGAGAAGTTTGCTAAAGCCAAGACGAGCACAGTTAAAAAATGGCAAGTCCCAGGACCGCGGCGGCCGCTTTCGAAGCGTCATGAGCGTGAAAAATATGCAAAGCTTTAGTGTGCGCTATTCTAAAACTGCCTAATGTGTTAATCATTTAACTCATGCACAATTTTATTCTATTTCAATTGAAATATTCATATACAAGCAATGCCCCAATGCCTTTGCTTTTATTAATAGTCAAGCTTGCCCCACTCAAGTGCATATGCATAATAAACATACTTAGGTTTTTTTTTAAAAGAATGAGATGGGTCAAAGCAGCTAAGTCTCAAAAGAACAAAAATTCAGCCATGTTTATGCTTGGGTTACAGAGCACAATGAATTGTTGCACAATGTGTTCATTTTTGTATAACATCATTGTTTTTTTGTTTTTTTTACTTTTTCTTTTTAGTTGAATAAAAATCTGCAGACGACAAATGTGTAATCTATCCTTCGTTTTGGCTGTTTCTCAGAAATGAAAGCTTATAGTTTAAGCTTCTGCAGTCATATATTTTTTTCAGGCATTATTGAAGTAAGAAGTTGCAGAGCAGTTCTGTTGGGGCTGAGTAATTCTGTAAGAAGTTCCTGTTTCGCCATCCTGGACCATGCTGGGATCTCACTGTAACAGTCTGTTAGCCAGGAAATGAACTGTCAAGTGAATGTGCACATCGCAGTACGTCAAGTGGCATGGTGGCGCTTTGTGATGCCAATTGTTAACAATAGTAGTCCAATTCCTGACTTTAACGAGGTTTGGATAAGCCGCCTCGGTGGCTCCGAGGCGAGAGCGCCGGCCTACGGATCCCCAGGTGGCGTGTTCGAATCCCGACCGAGGTGCCCGCAATCTGACGGAGGCTTATTGCGGAGAAGGCGCCGTGTAACCGAGCTTTCGGTTGCACGTCAAAAGATCCCCAGGTGGTCGAAATTAATCCTCAGTCCTCCGCTGGGGCGTGCCAGATGCCCGTCGTAGGTTTGGCACGTAAAACCCTCAAATTTGACTTTTTTTCGAGGTTTGGATATGAGGTGGCATTTGTAGTACTCCTGTGTAATTCATGTCAATACATTGCTGCATTGACAAATATAAACAGAAAGGAGAATTACGGGTCTAGAGGAACCAACTAAATTTCACTCCTGCTCCTCAGCTTTATTCTGAAGATTTCGGGATAATGAGTGAGTTCGCATTAAAAAGCACTAATAAAAGACTCTACAGCATTTGCTTCGCATAAAATGGGTTATATATTGATAAATCTAACTTTAAACACGAGCAGAAACCAAAAATTCGGCACCGCCTGGCAACATTTGCCTCAGGCTGCCAAGAACATGGCTGTCACGTGGTACAAGATGTCACATGATCCTGTACACAGCGATGGGCAGGAATGGGCTGGGCATGTGCCAGGCGTAAGTGTCGTCTCCACCATACTCTTTCATACGTTTTGGTGTTTATGACATTTCGTGACGTCTGCGCAACTGCGGCATAAGTTTGTGCACATATAGTGTCCGTATTGTGAATGAAACTTTAAAAGACAATAATCGCAAGCGCTGAAAAAACAACGGCAGTTGTGAAGCTGGAGACGGCGGTAATGGCTGGACGGCTTCCAAGAAGTGCGCTGCGCAGGTGCATTACAGCAATTACGTAGACAGTGCTGAGCTCCGAAAGGAATTCGTCGCTGACGTAACCCGTTACACTTGCCCGAAGTAGTAAAAATAAGCAAAAGGGGGCAAAAGCTCAAAGTTGGCTACGCCCATGCTGGTGGCCTTGACTGCGCTGTTGGTTGCGCCTCAATTCGCCCGCTCGGGACAGCCAATTTCAGCAACTTGGCGAGTTGCAAAGTTTGTCGGACCGTTTAAGAAACATTTAGACAGATCTAAGTCGTAATATTTTATGTGTGGTCTTCCTAGGTGATACTAAAGAGGACTGCATTGTTTTTTTCAATTTTTCAAGAACAAAATTGAATCGGAGTTGTCCTTTAAGTGACACTTGCTTCTTTTCGACCATCAGTGTCTATAACATTTATATGAATGCCATATTTTGTTGCACCATACACTTGTTCCTTAGGGTTGGAATTGTGCCTCTTGGCTTTCTTCACCAGAATTCATGAACAGAATGTTACTGTACAGAGAACAGTGTTGCATGTTAGTTTTTCTATTGTTTAAGAAATACTGCAGCTTTTAGATGATTACAGAATTTGTTGGAAATGACAATAGACCTTTTGCTAAATTACCCAAAGCATCAGAGAGAATGTTGGGAACGTAGGTACATGCACTGCACGTGCTTGCTTTCCCTATAAAAAAGACTGAAAGTAAATAACCAAAATAAAGCATCCGTGAAACAGATGTGCAAAATGACTTGTTGTAGATTTTTGCTTTTGAACGATCGGAGCTGAAGACGCCAGCACGCGCAGCGTCTGTACCTACGTTCCCGCCGTTCTTTTTGATGCTCGGGAAATTCGGCAGAAAATCTACTAATGCATGCACAAATTTTGATGGCAGAAGGGAACCGCAATCGTTGGCAATTCGTGCAAGAAAGGAATTTAATCGAAACCTAGTTTCAAAAGACCTGGATGTTCAGGATATATTTGCTATTGTGGCTTTCTTGCACACTGCTGTCTCAATAACTCTAGCTCATATTTTTTAGGTACTGAAAGATGTGCATACATTTGAAGATGAGCAGAGTTTCAAGATAGGAGAAGTAGAAAGAAAATTCTAGTAATGAATTTGTCACATACATATCCCCTCTTTTGCGCTAAAAAGGGGTAAATGATAAATAAGATACCTGTTCCATTGACATGCATAGCAGCATGCAGTTCCTTCTCTTGGAGGACAGTGGATGTTTTTTTTCCTGAGCTCCAGCAAAAATGAGTATCTTTTTTCTTTGTCTTTGTTCTAGTGTGCATGGGGCAGAAAACTAGAAAGTGTTAAATAGTGATTGGGTGTTAGGGCAGCTTTTGAAGAGATGGATTATTTAGCTTAGAGTTAGAAAAGTTGGATTATTGGGACGAGCTTTGTTTAAACATTTGACGTGATGGTTTGACCATTTTTTTCCTCGGAAGTTTGTGACAATTGGAATAGATATGTTTTTGTTTTAACGTTACCTGGAAATAGTTTGTGAGGACAATCAGTGGCTAGTTTTTGGTTTTTTTGGCTTTATTTCATGACAGCCTTCGAAGAGGTTAACCACGTATGGTGCTACATGGGGGGCATGCCATGCAGGACAGTGTGGCGGGTGGTCGGAGAGGCAGGTAGGGTACAGTGTGGGGACGTAGAGCCAGGGTATTTTTATCGGTACATGCGGGCTTGAGGAGAGTCTCTGTCTGACTAAGAAAGGTAACAGGGAAGGGCAGGACTAAGACTCGCTGGAGAAAAAGAAAAATGCAACAGAATATAGGATTCATGACCATGAAAGGCTGCAGGAATAGTGTGAAGTTGATAGAAGCTGAGCACAAACTCCAAAAGGAAAATTTCACAGTATGCGGGGTCGCAGAGACGTCTTGGAGACATGGAAGAACCGCCTTTTATGCCAGAGTACACGTGGATGGGGTGCAACAGGAACGGAAGGGGGAGGTCAAGTGGTCGTCGGTGAAAGGATGAGATTGGAAGAGAGTTGAGGAAGATTGTAGGGAACATCCTTTAGATGAAAGGTAGTATTGGGGGTGTGCCAACATGCTTGGGATTTGGTGGACAGGAAGTGATTTGAGAGGGACGGGAAACTCGCCCTTGAAACCTGGGCCGCTGGTGTCCACCGAGACCAAGCTAAATACGATAACATCGCCACCCTTTAGCGACGAGTTTAAACATGCAAGTTGCTTTATATGGCTACTGCAAGATGGCCCTGCGAGATGGCGCCACCGGCCCTTCCGTGACTGGACGGAACAAGTAAGTGCAGCCTTGCAGATCACGGAGTGGCCGGTGCGGGAGAAATGGCAGCGTTACAGTCGCCATTAGCTCTGTACTGAGATAGGGATCGACGCCACTTTTTTAGAGCGGGCTCTATGGG